TATACATACAGTGTGACCTACCTGTTGCTGAACATTCTGCTTGTTGAGGGTGGGCATTGATGCCACTATCTGCCCTTAAGCAGCCTAGTCAGCAAATTTAAAAGCGATTTATTAAAATATTAAAATTTAAAATTTAAAAGCGATTTAAGAAATACCACCTTTTTTTCCCCTCAGACTGTATTTCACAATGAACTATAGATGAGCTCTGCAGGAATATTGCAGCAATGAAAAATGTGAACATATAAATCTTAGACATCCAAAAGTTGTACTATTTTCCTATAGTTTTTTTTTCCAAAAGTGCTGGGCATTACATTCTAAGCGATCCTCACATTTAACATTTTCTCCATAAATGAATAATGATTACTAGTCTTTCAGGATTTCTGAATTCCCTGTGCTCTTGTGGAAGTTCTTTCCTGGTTATGTTTCCAATTTGGAACTGACAGAGGTGCCAGCAGCACACAGCCTGTTGAGCACCACAGCTTTAGGTATCCCAGTCACATGCAGGCAGTTATAAACCCAAAACTGTAATCAGTGTTGTTTGGGTTACATGGTTTGATCTCTTGGCCTGTGCCCTGAATGTGGTCTTTGTAGTTGAGCTGCTTTATAGCTTCTGTGGCACCTCTGAGGCTACGTCTTTATCATTCCACACTAATGTTCACTCTTGGTTGTGGTGGCCTGCCATGTCTCCTGTGTTTTTTTTTATTCCGACCTCTCTTTTTAATCCCCTTTTCACTAATATTATGTTATTTGGTTTCATACTGTTTCCCTGTCCTGACTTATTGAGGACTGTAAATTAACCAGTCTAATCTGGTGGACTGCAGCTCTCTGGGATCAGCAGTGAATATCACTGCTCTACTCTGTGCTCAACTCCGAGATCGGAATTTCCAAATAATGCAACTGGCAGGAAACAGAAAAGACTTTAATTGTCTGATCTAGGTAAAGAAGGTGGGTCTGGTTTTAAAACAGAGGAATAAGTGCCATTTTTACTATAAATGTGGAGTGCTTTTCTAGAGACTGCTGTGTTGAATTCTCATCATACTGGGGGGGTATAGAGTATTCCTGTGTAGCTGAAGTCTTTTAGTTTAAATTAAAATGGGAAATGGCACAGGCAGCATTTCCGATTTTGGTCTATTACTCCTAGTGTTTGCGACTCCTATGCTTAATCTTTATTCTATTTTTAGTTTTTGTCCAAAAGTAAATTATAAGCTTCTGTTTTCCTAAATGGTTACATATGCTGTAAATAGACTCCTGGTGCTGCTGGCCTCTGTTTTTGGCTTCATAGTTTCCATAGAATTCGATCTACACACAACTGAGATGATGTCTTTTTCACTGGAAAAACAAATACACTGTTAATGGAATATTGGACAACTGCTCCTTGCACTACTTAAATGGTGGTTTATGCAGTCTGGATTGGCTTTGCAACTTGGAGGTTACTGGTCTGAATACTATTTTACACACTTTTAATATCTTCCGGGGAAACAAGCTGAATGTTAGGATGTATTGCACTCTTAAGAATAGGATTTAAATGATATGATGTTATGTAACATGTATTTCAACATGTATTCATAACTTGTATTATGTCTATTGTAAACTGATCTACTAAGTCCTCATTTAGAAATTGTATATAATTTTCATCATTTTGTTTTAAAAAAATATATTACCGCTCTGGAACCAGTCCATACAGATTTTGTGCTATAAAGTAATGTTTGACACTGGCTGTCATGAAGAACTGAACTTTTTTAGTTTTGATTTAAAAGGACGATGGAAGAGCTTGATCCAAATACTCAAAATCCTAAAAGGCCGTGACAACCCAGTGGACCTCTTCAGAATCAGCCCCTGGCCCTGCCAGGCCCCTCTCTATCCCTGCAGTGGGATACACATCTGTTTTACTTCACCGACTGATTCTTTCTCACACTTGAGTTCTCACGGTAGCTCACGCCTGTTCTCCCAGCCTGACCCATGTCCTTGCCCCCCACAGGCTGACACGTCTCCCCTTCTTCCCCGTCTCGCAGTCACAGTAGCACCCACATTACAGGACGCGCTCTCTTCACACAGACACTCTTCTTACACGCCACTCTGTCGTCCTCTGGCATGACCACGCAGGAGGAAACATCCAAACATGCAAAAGGTTACCGTGGGGTGAAGGTTCTTGTCTGAACCACATTCTCCGGAAGAGCAGTGGCATCCTCTGTCCTCTCTGCAAATGAGAGGAGGCCGCTTGGCCCCATGTAGTCCTCTTGATAGTTAACCATTCATTGATCCAAGGATCTCATCCAGGGTGGTGTATTGTCTTCAACAACAAGGCTGGGTGGCTTATTCCACACTCTTACCACCCTTTGTGAGACATGCAGTCCTTTGAGGATTCGAACCCGAAGATCCCCTGCAGCCTGACAGACCACTAAGGATCGCGCTCCACGTGTCTCCCCTTCCCTGTGGCTTGCCATTCAAAGCCCCTTTGGGTTCCTTCCAGGCAAGGATGCACGGGCTTCTCAACCTGCCGGTCTATCCCTTTCACCATTTTCCTTCCACGAGCACAAAAACGCATTACACAGCCCTGTCTCCTGCAGCTAACAGTGCCCGTGCTGTCCATCAGCCTCTGCTGGAACACACGGGGCCTGTCACTGGGCTGTCTCCCAGCGCCCTGGGGAAGGCCTGGACACCGCTCCACCTCCATCCTTGCAACTCCTCGGCTTCCTCTGCTTCTCCGCTGCACCGCCCCCGGCGACCCCCTCAGCCCCTGTTGCCATTCTTCCTCTGACAGCCCTGGTGAGCACGTGCAGCTGACCTCCACCCCTGCCCCTCCTGCCCCTTTCACATGCACCCTGTCCAACAGGCTGCTGTCTTCCAAAATGCATTTCTGCATTTCTGAGAGGGTTTTGCTTAGTCTCTGTGCCCTGCAAGAGGACCTACTCAGTCTCTCTACAGAGTTTAGAGAAGCCATTTAAATAGGACAGCTCACAGCTGTAGCTCATCAAAGCCCAAGGTGCCCTGCTGCTGTACCTTCAGGTCACACACCTAATAAGGTTACACGTGAGAGGAGGCCATTTGGCTAATCAAGCGTGTTTGGGTGCTCACAGCTAATTGATGCAAGGATAGCTCGTCCTGGGTTTCCCTGAAAAAAACTGGGGTACTGGCTTCAGCAACTAGGCTTGGTAACTTTTTTCAGATACCCACAATCCTTTGTTTGAAAAGTGCTTCCTCTTTTCAAATTGTAAATCTACAGTATTTTGCCGTCAGAGCACTGACCAGTTTCTGGTCTCACATTGCAAGTGAAGGAGAACTGGGTTTGTTAAGGGATGCAGGGCTACCAAGTACAAACCAGTGCAGTGTTCTTGAGGGTGCTGAAGTTGGAAGAGAAGAAATGTTCTTTATTCCCTCTCTTGATCTTAACTCTTCAATCTGTGTTGCTTTAGGTAAAGCCACTCAGGCATTTTGAAACAGGTTGATGAAGAACTGGAGCTACTGCAGCAAAATATATGATATATGATTGGCTAGCCCTTTGGAATAGGTCAGTTCCTGTCTTATACTGTAGCACATTCTGGAAAACATTGAATGCACAATTTTTAGTCTGGTCTTACAGTGAATAACAGTCTTGGCATTCTTGGTATTTGAGGGACACCACTTCAGTGCCATCCTTCAGATTTGATAAACCAAGGTCATGAATTAAAGATTCCATGGCACTGTTCAGAACAGTAACACGATTCACCCTGGTATGCTGGTCAACCTTAGGCTTACCAAGTTTGTAAATAATTTCTCCCTTCTCTGGCTGATTCACTATGCAGTGCTGGTGCGTATTGGCTGCTGTGTATTGCTCAGTGGCAGATGAAAAGTGTCCTCTCCTGTCTATAAAACGCTGTGTCGTACACAGGGCACGCAGTGCTATAGGTGCTTTGAATAGGAAGGTTTCAGGAAAACATACACAATCACAGCCTTTAAAATATCAAGATAGTTCTCCTTTAGGAAAACAATACTCAAAACAGAATAAACCCTAGACTTCTCTTTGAGCATTTAACTACATGTCTTCCTGTGTCCCTCTGTATACAGTATACAGTAAATACAGCGGGGCAGCTAAGCTTCTTACCGGCTTCAGAACAAACACTCATGCTTCAGTCTTCTCCAGACAGCAGGTATTGACCAGCCTGTTTACTGGTTAATGAAAGTCAACAGACCAGTTGTCTTCCTTCAGAATGAACAGTGAAACACAAATCAGGGAACAAAAGGGGAGGCTATGTGGAAGCGCATATAAAATGGAGAAGAGTAGGCATTCTCTACCCTAAGACTTGTGGGAGTATGGAACAAGCTACCCAGCCATTTTGTTGAAGCCATTATCCTGTTTTCTTTCATGAAACAGCTGGATGACTAGAGGATTGTATTGCGTTGTCTAGAGGAGGAAAATGAGGTTAATGAAAACTCTTGTCTTAGTGTTGTTGTAAGGTCTTCTACACTTTTCTAATCCTACTATTTTGAGCTAGTCTGGTTAACTAACATTAAGTAAAAATTAATAAAAATGCAGATTTCTGTGGTAATGTACTAGTCACATCACCCCCTTACTCTTGTCTATCCATTTATTACCAAGGTCTCAACCCACATACGTGCTTTACCTTAATAATTTCAGTGAGCATCTTTTACAGTAGTTTCTGCTCATCACTAATGCCTTAATAATCAATTACTCATATATATATATAGTATTCCCACAAAAGTGTGGCACATCAATGCTGACTAAAACCTTTTTGCACTTGGCATTGTAGCTTCCAAGGTGATATGCTCACCGTTATATAGCAGTGATTAAGTCTATTTTTATCCTTTAATGATTATTTTTCTCCTTTTTTATTTTTATGATGATCATAATCTAGTAAAGCCAGTACCAGTCACCGTCTTTTACATTTTGTATGTACTGGGTTCTTATACTTGATCAATCTGGCCCTTTTCATCTTAAAGGCGAACTTTGCTGCTGTTGATGTGTCCAAGCTCCTAACCGCTCTTTATTTTGGTTTCCCTAGAGACCGCTGTTTAGCAGCTGTGTGCAATGGAGGATGGGAAGCCAGTGTGGGCGCCCCACCCAACAGATGGGTTCCAGCTGGGCACTATTGTAGACATTGGAGCTGACACCTTGACAATTGAGCCCTTGAATAAGGGCAAGGTGAGTGGATTTTGGATACCAGTCCTGGTAAACCTGTCTAACCATCAGCAAAACCTCTTATCAAGACAAAGGACTCCCTTATTTATAAAACACTTTCCTATGCAGGTATCGCCAACAAACATAAGCAAGCACTGTAGCTTAGAGTTTTGTGTAAAATATTACCTTTTTATGCTGAAGTGGTGTCTTTTACTCACTGTGGAATATCTTTGAATTGGAGCTTTCTTAACACCCTCTGTGGCTAGACCATGAATTGTGTATGAGCCAGAGATAACCGCTGAATATGACTGTTAGCTTACCTTAGGTTAGCTTTGGTCTTTTCACTTGTTTCATCCTGTCTTTTACGCTACAGTAATAACTCTTGATAACTTGATGGCACAGTCTGTGCTTCAAACAGTTTACCTTTCTTTTCAACGACCCCGTTGACATCAGGTAATAAAATAAAAATCTTCACTATCTTTCATGTCCAAAATGGAAGAACAGTCTTACTGTGTTGTGTGTACGATATGCTCATTAGTTCTGCTCAGTGTTGGACATTATTTTTGTTGGCAGCTTCAGAGCAGTACTGTTCAAAAGCACAATAAGAGTTCTGTTCATTCACGGATTGTTTGTGCCAGTAAACTGCAGCAATCTTGCCTGATCTGTGCTATAGCGTTTCAGATAGGCATTTGGAGGAAAGCAAGGGCACGATAATGTCCCTGAGACAAACAAAAATAGTGTTTGAATTCTTTTTTGTTTCTAAATTGAAGGTTTTTTTTAAAAATATTGCTTCCAATGAAAAAGAAAAAGCGTGTGTTGGAACAGAAAGAGCAGGGTTTTGACTTACTACCATATAGTTTTTTATATACAGTGGAATACTCCAATCCTGCCAAAGAAACTAGGATACGTTCATACTTGAGTGTTGGTTAACTATATTATTACAGTACATTACAGCATAAACTTGTACATTATAAAACATTATGAATAAAACATTGTATAAAACTTCAAATGGTTTTAAAATTGGCTTACAAAAATGTCTGGTATTGTTCGAGCACCAGAAAACCATATTTTTAGCTGTAATACAATTCCAATCTCTTTAACATTTCACAGTGTGTCACAAGTATTTAATTATTTGTGTGTACAACGCTGCCTTTATTCTGCAAATGACCTTCCAAAAACCATGCTTGTGTGGCACGATGACATTGAAGAAACTGTTGTTCATGCTACGAAACTGATTAAATTGCAATGAGATGTAGTTGAAAAAATTCCATTCAAATTCATGTCGATACTTGATAAAATAGTGGTAATGAACATTTTTCTTTGACATTCCTATATAGTAATTTTTAATCACAATGCAGCAATATCACTGCTCAAAGAGAGAGTGTGCTCTCCTTCAGCAGTGGTAGCAGGAACATGGTGAGGTTTCTAGAGAATTCAGGGTTCATCCATTACTAATGTAGGGATACAATGTACTTACTAATGTAAGATTTTTTACGGGAGATTTTCTTCACAGTTCAGTGAAGGATTGAGATTAGTTTTATTTTTGTGAGGGAGACCCTTTCCCTCAGAACACTGGGAGCCGATACACAAGGTGTATCCCCCACAGTGTCCGGAATTCCAGCTGTGTCACAAAGGGTTTTAAGGTCCGAGTTCAGCCATGGTAACCCTATGTTATTACTGTGAATGGGTGTTCATGAGTGACCATTGCCAATCGTATTGGAATCAAAGGAAATGCTCCCATTTATGGCTCATCAGGAATGGCCAATATTATTGGTGAGGTGTCACATACAGTACAACAGCAGGTGTCTGTTTTAACCGTACTCGGGCCAGACCAGAGGTCATGACCCCAGAGCAGGTCATAGAGTCAGATTTCTACAGAGGTTCCTGCGGCACCATCATACTGGGAAAACACACTCTCCAGTGGCCTCCAAGCAACATTTCTGATCTTGCACTAGTTTTTCCAGTTGTTTTTCCACGTGAACCAGTAGGTGGAAGGAGGTGCTGAGATTTTTAAACATGGGTCCCCTCTACTCGGCCATTAAAGATACTTTGGTCCTCTTAAAAAGAGTAGGTGTGTTAACACCATTGTCCTGACTTTATTCCTGTCTTGGTTTGTGCTGGCTTTTCTAAAACAACCCCCATAATTAAAGTGATGAAGAAATGTCTCAGTTCTCCACCTGACCTGCTGTACAGTGTAGCTGCACTTTAGTGGGGGAAGTGAGTAAAAAAGTAAAGTACCTGGAGATCCACTGAAATGAAAAGTTATATGCAAATACATTACATTATTATTATTATTATTATTATTATTATTATTATATGCTGTGGAAATGCATTATGTTTGATCTAATATTCCACATTTGGCAAGAAGACCCTTTTACTACATTTACTGCAGGTGTTGCAGCTCAAAAAATAAAAACAGTTGTTAATCACAAGATGGAATTTGTTATTATTTGTATTTCTCCAGTGGTATTGAAAAATACAGCAGTGATGTTTCTTGTAGTATTGTCAGCATAGTGAGATGCAGTCCAGTTTGAAAACGCTTTAGGGTAATTCTGTATGATATCTGTTCAAAAGGCTTCTTTTGAACAGATATCATACAGAATTACCCTAATTCCCTAAATACCCTAATACCCTAAAAGGCTTCTGCTTTGAATGTATGTTGGCCATCGGTAGAAATGGTAACAGTAAAATTAAGCCGAAGGGACTTCCTGTTAATGAACAACAGGTCATCAGTTTGACATTATTTTACAATAAAATGTAATGATTGTGAACTTTGACTTCACCCTGCACAAAACATATTGGATTTTCTCTTAGTTTAATGTTAATTGTGATGTATCACAAACTAGAGCCTTATCTACATTTCCTGTAGGTCTCATTTTGTGATCATTAGTGGTTAAGACCTGGTAATGTCACAGCTGAATGTAGCATCAGGTTACTTTTTAGGATGAATCGATTACAAAACTAAGTATACCCTGTTAATTGCTAGCTGCATTGAACTTGAAAAACTTTGATATTTGTATTTTTTTAACCTAGATGATCCATTAAATCAAGCAAATATAATGGGTTTTTGCAAGTTTTTTGATCTACAATAGTTTAAGCATTGTCGTTTCCCGTGTTTAATTCCATTTAATCACTAAATCTGGGGAAAAAAAGTTTTAGTAAAATGTATTTCTATTAGTCAAAATCAAGTTTTTCAAAGTATTTAGATGTTAAGCTCTCTAGTTACAATTATCGACTCAAAGTTAATACATCTAAAGTCTTTTCAGATTGTCAATGTGGATGATGCAGATAATAAAATGATCAATCCAGTCTGTTTGGAATGCAAGACGTTAATATCAGCCTGAGATTGCATTTGATCAGCAGGTACTGTACATGAGCCAAAGCTACCAGGTGCACTTGTGACCATCTCACCAGATAGTTAAGTCTTTATATTATGATGCCATCCGTGTCGTATCACAGCAGGGCAGTTGATCTAGACGGGTCTCTGGCTAACAGACATACCCAAACACAAGCCATAAGGCTCAAGACGTGCACTTTACACACCCAAGTGTGACACACCACAACCAGAAGCAAAACAGCAAACTAAAAGGAACAAGTAATAGGTTTATTCCATGCAGAAAAGAGAACAAAGAAAACACAACGTTTCAGCCGTGGAGCCTTCTTCAGGTGTGAGCCTAAAGGCTCCATGGCAGAAACACTGTTTTCTTTCTTCTCTTTTCAGCATGAACTAAACCTATTACTTGTTCCTTTGCAGCCTACACATGTTGACGCAGCTACCCACCTGAACTACTTCAGACTAAAAGGAAGTCTAGCTTGTCATTGAGCGTCTGGCTAAACTTCTATACTCTGTTACTATTATAATTACTAAGCTGGGCGGGTAAGCTGCTTATCGGCTTCCACACAAACAAATCTGTGCTGGAAATCTTCTAATGTCAGTGATGGTTACCTACACCAGATCTTCACATGGAGGCTTTTCCCACACAGCTCTCAAACACAGTCTGCTCACACATACAGAGTGTCTCCCCTCGCCCTTTCTCGTCTTCTCTTCACTTGCCTCTCTCTCTCTCCTCGCCACATTGATACACTCTCTTCTATTGATGGTTCGGTAGTTGGCTTATAAAACCTGGAGCAGTGTCGCCAGCTTTCCCTGCTCCAGTGACTGTTGTCAGCTGCCATTTGTGTCTCCAGCAGTTCCTGTCTGCTGTCTTGGTAAGGGTGAAGATGTGAAGTGGTGCCATACTATAGGGGGTCATACCACCCTTCACGGAGCCTGCCCCTAGTAGCATTACAGTATCCTTTGTCGGAATGAAAACACAACTAAGTAAGATTTTGAATGTGCCATTGTAACTGTGATCCCGTTTTTACATCAGTTTGTAACTACTTAGCTCCAAGTTGGTTCCATTGGTAGAGCAGCCTGTCAGTTTTCCCTGGAGCTCTCATCACAGACAGTGTGGAACAGAAGAAGACACCAGTTTGCAGTGCGCTGGTTGGGCTTATGCAACGCCACAGTTTTGTCACCAGTGCTAGAATGAATATACTGTAGGAAAGGTTCAAACGAGAAGACAGGGTTCAGCCCATATATCCAGGTTTTTAGTTACTATCTAACTGATCCAGGGGTCCCTCCAACCATTTCTTGAAATAAACCAGGATTCTAGCTTCAACAACAGGGCTGGAGAGCAGCATATCTCAAGTCTATAACACTGATAGGGACATCGTGAAGCCACGTGTTTCTCAACTCCCTAAATGACGAATGACTCAAGAGTCAGGGGCTCACAAGAGGAGATTCTTCTGTCCAAGACAATGGGCCAGAATCAGCTGGGTGGATATCGGAGCTATACCTGATTACATCATTAACAGTCAGCAACAGTGATTTCCTGGTTTAAAAGGTTGCACACAACTAAATTCTCCATCTGGCCTCAGAGCTCAGAGCAAGCACTCTGAGTCAGGACTTTAACAAAAGAAATGTTGTACTTCGTGAACCAATTGTTATTTTTTTCAGTATCCAATTGTTTCAGTAAATTAAAACTCCTCACATTCCTAAGCGTGTTGTGCTGTTAATTCTGAATAAGTCCTCTAGGTTGACTGTGTCAAAGCGTTTAAGAATATTAAATCAGCTTCTCTTTGTACAAGAAGATTCAGCTCTTTTAGCCTGTTAATGTAGGACACTCAGTTAAGCTGGGGTGTATACTGTATCTGTAATAAATCACAAATTTTATAGTCCTTCTGCTCTCCCACTAATTATTGTTTAATGTTAGTGAAAATGGCAAAACTAAATATTATGGGTTGATTTATTACCAGATGAGGTACATGAAACCCAAATTACCGCTCTCAATTTAAGAGACTGGCTGCTGAGTTTTCCTGTAACGATATGTTTTAGAACCTTCATTCTCCAAAAGAAGCAGGGCTGAATTATCTTTAAAATCCGATTAATTTCAAGCCAGACTAGGTGCAACACCTGGAGCAACCTTTTTGTTTGTGGGTAAAGCCCAGTAGTGCTGACACTGGTGCCAGGAGTCATTAGGCACCTGTGAGTGGGGCTCCCTAAGCTCAAGAGCAGTTGACTGAGTGCTGTGTCTCAGGTGCTGTAATTCTCTTGTGAGCACTATTCGCTTGATAACCAGAGGGAGAAAGTTTAAAAGAGACATCTGTAAAGTTCGACTTTACCAGTATGTGGTCAGCATTGGACAGCTGGACTTATGCTCCTTTGAATTATTCAAGTCCATAAGCTTCTGGTCTCATTCTCTTCTGATTCCTCAAAAAAACAGTTTTAAAATTGGACTCTGAAGTTAAACGAGGACTTCAGCTAATTTCAGGTTGTAAAACGAGGACCCCTTTGTCCTGGTTACGTTATGGCAAAGTATTTTCCTTGAATAAGCACCATCGTACTCAGTCTTGGTCTTAGAAGACCTACCAGTGTCATAGTGTTCCTCCCACCTAACGTTTTAAAGGGATAATAAGTAAATAGAGTGAGCTGGTGGTGTACAACCTAAATAAAAATCTTTTTAAAGCCTTCAGCCACAAAGGATTCTGCATTCGAATTTGTGTCTACCTGTCCAGGAGCAAGTATCAAAACATACTGAAACTATGGTTTAGTGTTGTGGAGTCTTATTTCCCTTTTCATTCCATCCACCAGCCCAGTAAACCTTCCTTGATGTAGAGCCTAGCAGTTCACTGAGGCTAAGTGTCAGACGTCTGCTTAGAAAGGAAATTCAGTCTTTGACACATAAGCACAAATCAGAAGCGTGTGACTGGATTCTTTTCATGGGTCTTAAGAGGTCAACCTCATGTTTTTATTAGAGGGGATACAAAGCAAAAAAAATCTGATTGTAGCCATTTTGCACCGCCAGATATCTGTAACATGTTCCCATTGCATTTCATGCACATTTAAAACCGTTGTTGTCGCAGAATTACCATATAAGCACATTTTCATTTATAAAATTTGTGACTAAGTTAAACAAAAGGGGAAAAAATAGAGGGAACTTTACATTGCATTCTTTCAAAAATTTGCATTTGCGTGTTTTGATCTGTGATTGTTTGTAATGTGATCTGTAATTGGTATTTTATTTTTCCCATTTCTGCCTTTTGCTAATGTATTGTAAGAAATGGGTCTGCATTTCAGTGCTGAAGAGGAATTTCCAAGCTCTTCATCCTGCTTCACTTAGGACTCAAAGAAGCTTCTCTCTTATTTCTGAAAGGGGCTGCAAGAACTTGGTTCTGCCCTTTTATCCTTTTTTTGCTTCTGGCACCAATGCTGTAGCTAATTATTGTTATCGTTCCGGATGATGTAAATAATCTGCCATCAAAAGTTATTCTGCAGATTTCTCAGTTTTGTATTTGTAGTAAGAAATAAGAAACAGTATAGTGTAGAATTGATTGGAACGTTTCACAAATTACCATAGAACTTTAAGCAGTAAAAATAATGAGTCTGTGCTGTTAAGATTGGGTGGTGAGGATCACAAGATGTCGTTAATTTAATTTTTGGTGAGATGTTTTCCATGGTTGCTACAAAGTGCAAAGTTTGTCTTGGCACCGCTTCAGTCAGTCAATCTGAATACCTGTTTTTGCTACATGTTGTTTTTAAATCAATTAGTCTGGTTCTTATTATTTCTGTGCCGGTATGCATCTGTGTATCTATTCAAATGTGTATGTACTGTTTGTGCACTTTTCAATAATAATAAAATCAGAATTTCAAAATGAAATACAACATAGGATATAATTATGATAAAAGTTGCCGTGCTCTGAGGATAGTATTCGAATCACAGTGTTTGCTTAATGTAGTCATTTAAAATTCTGGCTATTAAACGTTTGGTAGGTTGCTATCCTCTTTTATAGCACTTTTATTATTTTACTAACAATATCCTCTGCCTTCCCAAAATACATACGATGCTACAAATAATCAGAGTCATTGGAATAATCTCAAGGCCTTTAAATGCAGCTGCATGGCTTTGTGTCTCACTAAGTAACCAGTCAGCTGTAGTCCCAATTCTAACAAAATGGCCTAATTTCCCAAATGAACCTTTCCAGTGAATGTCTAAAACGCAGCACACACTGTTTGGACTGGCTGTGTGATACTGCGAAAGTGAACACAGCTATAGAAATAACTGCAGCCGGCTCTGGAAGGCTCACTGTTGCACCCCGAGCTGGGGCTGCCTGTAATCCGAGGGCCTGTTGACAGTGCACTGTCCTGTGCACGAGTCCCAAATAGCACAGTTGAGCAGATGACCTCCAGAATGGCTCTGAAACCGTTTGCCAAGGGGGAGAACATTATCATCTTCCTGCAGTGGTTCCTCAAGCTCATAGCAGAATGACTGGACATCTGATCTCAGCATTTGTCCTCTTTATTTCGCTCCTTGGCAGAGCATTCTTTTCCACAGATGAAAACATCATTACATGCAAAACTGAATGACTTGTTATGGACCACCTCTACAGAGGAGTGTGTGCTGTACCTTACCTGTGCTGTGTATCTGGATATGGTAATTGTGAGATATTGGACCAAGCTGTCCAGCCATGTTGTAAAAGCTGATATCCTGACGTCTTTCGGGAACTGGCTGAATGAGATTAGATACTGTACTATCTGCTAGATGGGCTAAATGGCCTTCTCTTGTTTGTAATGAAAATGTAGGCTCCACTCAGACCCAAGCATCTCATGGATGAGATTTTTAAGTTTCACGTTGCTAATGCCAGAAGATGCAACAAAACTAGTTTAAGGAAAAATGAAAGTCTTGAAAGCTCATAATTTAAAATAAAGACTGTTCTGGAAACGTATTTTTAAAATAAATTTTTAAGAGGAATAGATTTCATCATGTGGTGGAACGGACCTCTAGGAACTAGGAAGTCTAGGACGCTAGAATGCTGTCAAAGAATGATGAAATTGTGAAGTAATTGCGAAGTGTTGAAGTAATAGAGGTTCATGACATCTTTTTGTTTTTATTCTATTTTGTAGACTTTTCTGGCTTCCATTAACCAAGTGTTTCCAGCAGAAGATGATGTCAACAAACATGTTGAAGACAACTGTAAGTGTGTTTTTGAGCTGATAACATCCTGCACAGGATGGAGGCAGGCGTGAACCAAATGCATTTAATGGGAAGATTTATTAGTAATGAGGTATATAATGTTTTAAAAACCTTTGTAGCAGGACTGATGAATAAATTAATCAAAATGTTTGTTCTGTTGTATTATTAATGTATACTCTGTGGTATTATATATTATTATGTATAAAATTATATTACGATTTGTAACTCATGAATACAATACACTACTTGTGAAGGCTTTTGCCTTTTTTCTGTCATTTAGTGTCATTTCCTTTTTTACTTTCATGCTTTAATTTGTTGTTCATCTGATTATTTTTAGGCACATAAAAGATCATAACATATACTGAGCATGAAAAGAAATTGAGAAATGTAATTTAAACCTGCAACAAATTCATTAATTTACCTGGAACATCTGTAGCCGGGGCACTGACATTTTAATGTCCCTGACATTTAATTTGAGCTCATGTTGATCAACAGGGGTCTACTGTGAAAGGTACAGGCTAGAAATATGTGTGAACGGTGTGGAAGGTTATGTACACTATGTATGATGCTCGCATTGCACCAGGTTGTAGATGTGGTCTTGTGGGATTCTGTGACATTCCTCATGTAGAGACTGTAAAAGCATGTGCCTGTTCACTGGTCTCTGGGCCCAACAGTATGTTCCACCTGTCATCATTGTCACTGTTCATTCTGTTGACAAAAGCTGTAACGCACTGAGCTGTTTCTGTTGTGCCAAGGAAAAGCCAATGTCCGGCCACAGCAGTAAACGTCTTGAGGAAAGAGAGCTTGATACTTTAAAAGAGATACTGTAGATATTAATATTTCAGAACAGAAATTAAGAAAGCCATGGACAAACCTATGATCACCTGGAAGATATTCTGGATTTGAAGCACATACAAAACATCATTTCTTTGACAGATTATTTTGTATCTTTACTGCACATTTTTTTAAATCTTGTTGATGCCTATGCTATCTTTAACCGAATGTTTTTGATTTAACACATTGCTAGAAAGTCCTTGCAGATACACTGAAGACATATTAAAACAGTTTTGTTGTAAAAGTCTCTTTTTAACTCTCATTAATCCAAACACGTGAAATCCACAGAAGAACTGTACTACACGTTAATGTCAATTACAATTAATTGAATGTCAGTTACAGCTTACTGAAAACAAGTGAGAATCTCTTAAAGTCTGGAATTACATCACTGAATGTTGAGACACGAACAGAAACTAATTTCCTGTTAGCCACAGTGGACATCCTTGAAACTGCATTCATGCTTGAACCGTGGAATCTCATTCTTCAGATTTCATTCAGCATAAAGCATGCATCGCAAAGTGAAGATCAAACTTGGCTGATGTTTGTCATTGTTAATAGTATGAATATGCGTCAAAATCTTGAATCACACAGGAATGTAGCTAGAGACTTCAGTCTCCTGGACAACACACACCTTGCGACTGCTTTTCGGTATATATTTGAACAGCCAATGCTCATCAAATAACAAATACAAATTCACAATAAACCTCTTTCAACAACTGGAAGCTGTTGGATGTTCGCCGGTTGGAGTCGGCTGTTCCAGACACAGACATCTTCCTACATCTTCACCTCACTTTACCAATTGCAAATGCGGAGGCATCGGTCGTTTTTCAACACGCGAATTAAAAGCTTTGATCGTTCAGCGATCGCACAAGACAGAACGGACTTGCCTACTTGAACTTCATTGACAACGACCTGACAAGTAAACTGAGTCTCCTAAGGAGAAGATTTCGAAAGCATCTGATCTTGAAGGAAAACCTCAGTATGTAGTTAGCAGAGCATTTGTCCTGTGCTATTTCCGCATCAGTCGGGTTTGCAAAACAAGTTCAAGTGCGGTTCGGTTCTGACTGCAGTATGTAGCAACAAATCATCAAGTGTTATTAATCCCAGTCTGAAATTATTTTTTTTGGGGGGGATGGTGGTAACAGCACCACAGGGCAGCTCCTTGGGTACTGGATAGGTCCTCAGAACCATTCATCTGGCTGTGGCTGGCGGTTCCACATGAGGTGTTGCTCCAACTCACAAACATCGCCTAGGCCGAGCTCTCTTGATCAGCAGAACCCATTTGTTCTTATTTCTATGATTATTTATTGATTGTTTTCACCAGGCTTGACAGGCTGACAGTGGCGTGACAGAAAGAGATTGAATTGCCTTGTCACCTGTGACCGGCAGGCTCTCTCAGTGATGAGGTGACTTTGCGCTTATGCAACAGTCACCTGGGTGTATGATGCCAAGTCAAGAATGACATCGATCAAAGTGACGCTGAAAACGATTCATCGATACCTAAAACATACTTGATTTTTATAGAAATGTGGATTACATGCATCAAAAGAGATGTTTCTTTTCATGCTCAGTGTAGATTTATGAGGTTTAGAAGCTGACCTGCTGACTGATTACATTTATTAAGATTTTGCTTCTGTATTTTGTCTTTCAGGTTCACTTATGTACTTGAATGAAGCTACGCTTCTCAACAATATACGTGTGCGATATAGTAAAGATAAAATATATGTGAGTATAGAGTTGAAATATTGTTTTTACTACTCTTTATATTAGACTTGATATATAGATACTTACTGAATGCTATACAATAATTTATGAGGTGAATTATAATTTATATAAATAGGATATAAATTAATGATACTTTATAATTGCAGAAGATGAAGTATTGTCTTTATTAACTTGTAGAGTGCCATTCAGTCTTAAAGTGTATGCTTTTTCAAAGTCAAACAATTGTGAGGCTCTACTTACAAGGTTTGACGGCTTTGAGGTTTAATTTAATAGTTCAGCATAAATGTCTCCTGTAGGAGGAAAGTCATGATCAGTGAGTTTGTTACTGTTTAGATGAAAGTAAACTTATCCTTAACTGGATGTCTACACACCTGCTGGTTTTCATTCCATATGAAATTAATTATTATTGATGTCTTAGTTGAAATAAAATGTTGCTTAGTTGGAATATTTGCAAAGTCTTTTTTTTTCCTTCTAAAAAGCTGGAGATTTATGTTTACTTATGAAAAGCAATAGTCAAAAGACAACCTCCAGCATGTTCAAGAACTGAAAATACTTAAACAGTTCCACACAATTCAGTTAAATGTTCGGTTTCATAACCGAGAGCTTGACTGGGACAGACACCAGCAGGTGTGTGGCCCCTCGGGACCTGGATTGTGAGCCTCTGCTCTAAAGTAAAACGTCTTGGAGTTTTCCAGGGTGTAAGCTTTTATGTCCCTGGTGTCGATTTATACCAGTGCTGACGCTGTTTTGCTAAACTGTGAGTTAGTTAGTTAACTCCTCCGTGAGTTATCTAATGGCCCTGCTGTCACCACAGGTTCTTCACTTGTCATCATTATTTAAAATGAGCCGCAAGCCTCTGTGCTGTAGTAGTTCCCCATCTCAGATGACTGCTAGTCACCTAACACTGCTATCATATTGCCCAGCAAACTTAATTAGGTCCATTGAATTGACATAGCTATCCCTTACCATCTGCACTGTGTAAGAAATGGCAGCTGTGGAATGGGAAGCACATACCTCTGTGCTTAGTACTGAATTGTTTCCCTTCAAGCGACACCTAGTGTCCACTGTTTGCAAAGGCATTCTCCGTGGTCTACAATGCTTTCAAATCCTTAAAATTTCCCGTTTTAAATTCTTTAAAATCTTACCAGTTATCAAATAAAAGACAAACGCGGTTTGCTCCAGTGTTTTTGGTATGGTTTACGCAGTTGTGAATATTATTCTTAAGTCTTTAGTTTACTCGTTTGGCACACAGATCACATCGCCTCAGGTGTTGTTTCTGCCATTGAAAACGCCAGACGGCGTACCACTCGCCTGTTTTTGCTGTGTGGACTGAAACTTATGCTTTCTTTTCAGACCTATGTTGCCAATATCCTGATTGCAGTTAACCCCTACTTTGACATCCCCAAGCTCTACTCATCGGACACCATTAAGACCTACCAGGGGAAATCTCTCGGCACTCTGCCCCCTCATGTGTATGCAGTTGGTATGTTGTGGCTCCTTGTAAATCCAGCATGGTCTGCCTCTGCAGTGTGGAGTACACCATTTCCTCTCAGCTCAAGGCGGCTCATTTCGACTTCAGCCTCCCAGAAGTGTGAAGCACAGTAACAACACTAATCTGTTACGTGCTGCTAAAGAAATGCTGAGTTTTCAGCTGTCACGCTTCAGAAGGAGAGCAGTTATAATGTTTAACCCATGTGAATGAACATGGTGGGCCTTCCGTTTGTGTGTGTAGTTCATTTCTGTCACGACCCGGAGCTGAACTGGTGTTTGGTGCGTCTATGTTAACTGGCGGAGGAATCCACTCACTGGGTCCCAGTGAAGGCGAGCTGGGAAAGTGCTGGGGAGGCAGACAGAGGTGGACGGATCAGGGCGTGCACGGTGCAGCCGGGCAGAACGGAACAGGGAAAACAGGGAGCAGTTGTGCAGATGAGGACAGGGAAAGTGCGCAGCGCAGCCTGGCAGGACGGAGCGGGCAAGTCGCGCAGACGAGCAGGTCAGGTTGTCCGCTAGGACGCCGCCCGCGGACTTGTAGCAGCTGGGAGACAGGCGGGAATCCGGGCGGCCGCCAGGTTCCGTCTTGAGATCGGGATCGGGGAGTCAGAATGATTCAGGCAGAGCCCCTGAAGTCTTACTGGCAGGCTGGTTAGGAGTACCTCCAGAAGTGACGGAGTGCCTGATTGTGGACTGGGCTGACATGGTAGTTGCCTGTTAAGTGGGAGCAGGGGGCACTGAGCTGTGGCCCACCTGTGTGTAGCAATTATCTTACATTTATGCGAAAGATGGAATTATTTGCACAGTATTGTTGGATTGTGTGGTTTGTGAATCGAAAGGTCATCAAGAATGTTTCTCTTGCTCAGAAAATTGCAGGATGTGTGGATTTGCCGATATCTGACAAATACACTTTATTTACTCAGACTTGCTTTCCAGGATGCAGTCTAGCACATGTGTGATCAACATGCTGAGCGTACTTGATAAAGTGTGAATCCATGCCTCTTCTCTTTAACAGATCATGTTGTGTTGAAAAAGATGTTTCGCAATGTCAACATATTGTTTTGAAATGTAGTAGGACAGCTGTCATATTTCACTCAAACTGGCCCATGCAATGAGTTTCTCACTAACTTAGTCACCAAATTAAAATGAATGTTTGCACATTTCTCTAAAAATATTGTCGTGGCATGGAGAAAAATGTCTGTGTTGTCTCATAGATGCTGTAAGAAGATTTCAACTATTTGATTGGCTGAAAGTTGTTCAATAGAAACTTAATTATGATGTCTGTCTGAAACTTTTTAGCTGACAAAGCTTTTCGAGACATGAAGGTACTGAAAATGAGCCAGTCAATTATTGTATCTGGTGAATCTGGAGCTGGAAAGACTGAAAACACAAAATTTGTGCTCAGGTATTTTTCATTGTTCTACACTGCTTTTATACTGTGTCTTTTATGCTAATATTCCTCAAACGCCTTATTGGAATGCAACTCTTTATTTGTGCATTTTCACCTGTAAGTGTAAGTTCAACAAATATAAAACCCAATTTGGATGTTCCCTGTGATCTGTTGCTCTATTTATGGAAGAGAGATTTTCCCAGGAAACCATCAAAATTAGCTGGTCCTCCAGTGTTATTCTCTTAACACAGATCACTTTTGTTTACATTTTACCAGGTTAAGTCACAGTGATTCATGTGCAGCTATTTTAGTGTGATTCACCTGTTTACTCTGATTAAAAATTTACATGTGTAATCCTGGGTGATAACATCAACTATGATATAAATTCCCTTGTGCACCTTAGTTTCACTGTGCCTCTTCTAAACCACAGTGGCAATATGATAAATACAAGAGTAATGAAGATTTCTTTTTTGATATAGGGCATTTTGAAAAAGTATATATTAATATTATGTGATCTTCTAACTCAATTCAAATTTTTAACCATACATTTGTTGTGTCACTGCTGCATTTAGATTTAATCTGAGACTTTGCAAAGGAAATTCTGCTGTACTATCACCTGAAATATCTTTTTGTTTGATGTGATACCGATAGGTAATTATATATGAATTACTACTATTTATTTATTAGTATTCATTTTGTTCCACAGGTATTTAACAGAATCCTATGGAACAGGTCAAGACATCGATGAGAGGATCGTTGAAGGTATTTCATTTGCCTGTGTTTGTGAAATCAGTAAACAGAAATGAATGAAAGTTTTCATGGAGAAGTGAGAAACCTGAAGTTTTCCACATTTTATGGACTTTTCTGTGTGGAAAAGTCAGGCCATTTTGAATGTGCGACTTACCTTGTCCTCCAGTCTTGTCTGCTTGCAAACCTGATTAATAAATATCTTGCCAAAGACAATCTATTTTCTTTAATTTGTTGATAAAATATATGTTGAAATGTAATTTTGTATCCATTGCAGCTAATCCTTTGCTGGAGGCCTTTGGAAATGCCAAAACTGTTCGCAATAATAATAGCAGCCGTTTTGGGAAATTTGTAGAAATCCATTTCAATGAAAAGGTACTGTATGTATGCAAATAGAGTATAAATTGTGTGGATGATATGCATGTGCATCATTACAGAAAGAAATTATAGTTGGATTTAAGGGTGCTAAATGAACCTCTGAAAAGCTTGATATTCTTTAGTATATTAGTTTTTTAGATTAGCAGTGTTACATGCTGTTAAGTTTTTAACATGATTTAATTAGGGAAGATACTACCTTGTCTTGCGGTGAAGATTAGGTTGGGCTTGTTCTCAGTAGCTTTGATTCTGTGAAAATGCAGCATTTTACTGAGTTCATGTATAGACCTGCATTCCTGCAAAAGACCAAATTATTAACTTTTAATAATTAACTTTTTGCCTACTTCAGATGAATAGTATAACTAGAGCTTTTACTTACAGTAAGTTGTCTTAAATACTGTACATATTAATATTTCTTTATCTGCCTTTGCATATTGTAAATCCACATTAAAGCCACACTAGATTCATGCAGCTATATCAGTAATATTCTTATATTTAAATTAATCTTTATACTGCCACACTCAGTGTTCATAAAATGTAGGTTGAAAGTCTTAGAATGTTAATAAAAATGGGTTCTATTGAACTGGTACTGTCTACCTTGAATTGTTTTTAAGACTTGCCTCGCTTTTCAAAATAAAGCCTTGCACTGTCTGTGCATATATTTTTTGAAGCCCAAAGGGCATAGAAATAGCATATAGCATTTATATTTATATGAACATTTTAATACATGTATAGATGTACCACTATAAAATCTTGTATATTCTCTGATTGCCACATTCTACAAAGTACATGTGTCTACAACAGGAATTCTGAAAGCTTTAGCTTCATATTAAATGTGTTGATGGTGATCCTGGATTTCAAATTTCCCATCACATACTAATCTGTAGGATATATGAAATGTCTGGTCACATTGAAGTGGTGGAAAATAGAATGCAAAGTAAAAAATCCTTTTATTAAGGATTATTTGCACTTTGCAATTTATACATTGATTAAAAAAGAAACACCGTCAAATTACCACCACTAGTTGTGCTTTAGACGCGTATGGATATTTTGTATTAAATGAATTACAATGAAATATGCTTTCATTACTTTCATGGCTTCTAGTGTAACGTCATTAATTTGGAAGGTCTGCATAAGCTTCTAAGTGTAAGAAAGGAGTCTCTTTACCACTTTTTTGTTAGCTCAGTTGCATTACCTCCTAATATTTTTATTCACAGATCTGTAAGTTTTTAGGTCTTGTAATTTCAGTGCAGGAGTCAGCACTGCAGAGCAAAATTGCATTGTTTGCCCTGTTTCCATTCCTCTAGAACGCTGTGGTGGGAGGCTTTGTGTCTCATTACCTGCTGGAGAAGTCTCGGATCTGTATGCAGAGTAAAGAAGAGAGAAACTACCATATTTTTTACCGTCTGTGCGCAGGAGCTTCTGAAGACATTAGGCAGAAGTTTCACCTGAGTTCACCAGACAGCTTCCGGGTGAGTTACAGACCAGTCCCACCTCTGGAGCAGGTCCTCTTTCTGGCACTTCTGAGGGTCAGCATCTTCACTTTTCCGGCGTATTTTTTGGACCTTGAATTAGGCCACTCCGGCGCTTCCTGAGTGGCTTAACCGGCAGAGATGCTCGCCTAAGATAAGATCACCTTATTGGCCATATACAATTTCTTTATTAGGCATTCATCTTTTCGCATACCCTAGCTTGCTCTCCAAGAGACACAAAGACAGGGAAAGAGGAGCTTAGGGTCAGAGTGCAGGGTCAGCCAGGGTCAACCCCAGCGCCCCTGGAGCAGTTGGGGTTGAGGGCCTTGCTTAGGGTCCCAACGGTATGATTCCTCTGACGGCCACGGGATTTGAACCGGCAACCTTCCAGCCACAGGCGCAGATCCTTAGCCACAGAGCCACCGCTCCACCCCCTTTTTTTTAAAGATAAAGATAAGCACATGTCGAGTCCTGTGGTCCTGGGTGAAGTCCTGTGTTATGTCAATAGCCTGTGGCGACTGGGAGATTCGCCCAAGTCGGCCAGTCTCTCAGCATCCCAGCAAACCCTTGAGGCCTCCTGGACGTTTGCATACATCAAGTCAGTCGGAGGCATGTCTGTGCTCCAGCTGGCGCTGAACCTCTGGTACAGGGCTGTGATGTCTGTGACGTGTTAAAAAACCCAGTGTTTCGAGGTGGACAAGCTACAGAAGTCTGCCCACATTTGCTTATTCTTTCCTGTGTGCGGTCACGTTGTTCAGAACTGTGAGCCGTCTTGGGAAAAAAAAATATTCGGCTATTTTCTGAATCGGGTGGGTAGTTGCTTATTCCTAGTGAACATCTGAAAGCACAGGCAGCAAGGCAGTGCTATACCCCTGTGAGCTCACAAGGGACACAGGAAAACGGCTTGTCTTTGAGAGGTGGGCGGACGCCAGAGCACTCAGAGGGTACATTCAGGGTTCATGTGGAAGGTGCCCCAGTCTGGAACTGAGTCTGTGACACAAGAGCTATGAGGCAGGAGCGCTAAGCACCACATCACCATCGTGCCCAATCTTGCTGTATCGCCATGCTGGCAGTACGTATTCTCTGGAGAAGCGTGAACAGAGGCCAAGGAAAATGTATGCAAAATGCAACAATGAACCTTAATTTCTTCTTATTATTCTTTTTGATGAATCTGTTAAAGTTTGAAAGTAATTTCAATCAATGCCCATGCCTGCAAGAATGTCTTTAGCAGAGCAATACAGGTAGTTATATTAATGTAGCCACAAGGGGTCAGACTTTAATTTCCTATTTAGAGTTTAAGGAATTGTTCTTCAAACCTACAGTATATTAGTTTCACAAATGTAGCAATGTATTGTTATATTATTACATTTTTCAGTCATGTATTTTACATTATTCCATTGTGGATCAGATTTATTCATTATTATTTACAAGTACATTTGTATATGGATACAGTGTTTAATATTTCTCTACAAATTTGAAGCATAGAACATTAATACTAGCTGTCCTTATATATCCAACTTATATAGTTGTGAAATCTGTTCTTTTTATTCTGTGTGGTAATGTATTAAAAGCTCTCCTCTCCGACATTACTGCCATTCAAGGTTATGTAAATAGTCAAAATGAGTCATATTAAACTAATCATCTCATGCACACTCATTAAACAGTGGTTTTCCCTTGTCCCTGAGAAAGCACGACAGCCATGAAAAAATCCCTTGTTGGGAATAGGTTTGAATATCTGTTTATGGCTTAGGTAAATTGGTTTGCCTTGGCTATTCTCATTTGAATAGTTCTAAATAGATTTGGGAGGAATCAGATATGGCATTTTATTGAACCAGTACTGTATTTTATAATGATACAAAGGGCAGAATACTGAAAAATAAGACTGAAAGTAAAAGGCCTTCTTAAAGGCACAAAGTAAGAGCCTTAGACAGGCTGTCTAGCGTGTTTTTCATTACCTGGGATCTTTTAAGAAATGTGATGGGTCAATCTTGGATTAGTAATTTAGTAAAAGGGGGCTGATGGAGATCCTTTCCTTTGCAACTTTTGTAGGTTTAGAATAAAGAATCGGAATGAATTTTGGAACTTATAAAAACACTTTTGTTTTTGTATCCCATTTTGCATTTTCAAAATAAAAGACTAGTCAAGTGTAACTTCTGAGACATTTATTTCTTGCAAATATATCTTGAGCTAATTTTTTATTTTTTTCTCTTTAGTTTTCATTTCTGTGTAAATGTTATTGCAGTTATCTATAAATGTATGAAGTAACCACTGTGTCTAAATGAGTCACTTGTCTTATTATGCACTTTTTTGCAAGGTCTAGATCACCTCGTAAAACGTGTACTCTCCTTCAGTGAACATTACCTGTGAATCATCCATGCTGGAGATTTATAACTATTTCCACCTTTGTAATAAGCCCATCCATTACCCCGTTCTTGCTGGCTGCAAGTTACTGTACTGTGACTACAAACTACATTAAATCAGTAACATTATAATACAACTTAATTATACATAATAATATACAACTTTCAACTGTTACAACTGCAAGTCAGAGGAGAAATCACAAGGACAGAACTGGAGGGGAGAAGAGCACCTTAATTACTTGCTCCGTTCTGCACTGATGGTCCTGAAGCTGCAAAAAAGTGATGCATGTGCTCCAGTCCAAAGACAGGGGAGTCGCACATTTCGCAGTAAATGTATACTGTTGTGCTGCTTGATTAAAACACAATAGCTTCAATGTCGCACACTCATCAGCTCCTTACAACTATCTGTTTCGGTGAAACTAAAAGCGAGTATTTTCATTTCTCCTCAAGATACGTTTCCTTTACATACATTATTCTTTCCAATATCTACCTATAAAACTGTTAAAATTTTAGAGCCTTATTAAAAAGTGGCATGAACTGGTAATTGCTGAATTCTGACACCAGACAGGAATGCCTCCTGACCTCTTTATTTTCTTTTCAGTATTTAGTCTCCATCTATAAGCTTTTGGATTTTGGCTGTTTGGTTAAGTCTTGTAGAATGTCAAAATAACATAAAATGTGCTACTACACAAATCATGTACTATCAATATTCTCTCCAGAGTATACTTTTGTCCATGAAATTGGGTCTCTTTTTTTTAAAAGATAATAACAGCTGTGTTAATTACATCTACATTTTGTGTGCAAGCGTGCATGATGTTGTACTTGTGTTTTTAAGCCCACTGTCTCACTCACAGCATTACTTTGAAGGGGAATGCAAGAATTGAAACAACCCGCTTCTGTTCTTGTCTTCCCTTCTCCTTTCTCAGTATCTGAACCGTGGATGCACCCGCTACTTTGCTAATAAGGAAACAGACAAGCAGATTCTGCAAAATCGCAAGAGTGCTGAGGTATGTTACATTGGTTACGTTGGCTTTACAGGTAATGGGGACTCCCCTCCACCACCACCAGTGGATGATCCGACGGCAGCCATAGTGGGCCAGTACGCTCACCACACATCAGCTATCAGTGGGGAGGAGAGCAGAGTAATGAAGCCAATTCATAGATGGGGATTATTAGGAGGCCATGATTGGTAAGGACCAATGATAAATGTGGCCAGGATGCCAGGTTACACCCATACTCTTTTCGAGAGACGCCCTGGGATTTTTAATGACCACAGAGAGTCAGGACTTCGGTTTTACGTCTCATCCAAAGGATGGCGCCTGTTTACAGTATAGTGTCCACCTCACTATACTGGGGCATTAGGACCCACATGGACCGCAGGGTGAGCGCCCCCTGCTGGCCCCACTAACACCTCTTCCAGCGGCAACCTTAGTTTTTCCCAGGAGGTCTCCCATCCAGGTACTGACCAGGCTCACACCTGCTGAGCTTCAGTGGGTTGCCAGTTGTGAAATGCAGAGTGACATGGCTGCTGGCTTTACACCGTTAAATCCTTAATTGAGCCAATGATCTGCCTGGTTTAAAAACTGGCATGGTTTGTCTTTTCTAACTCAAAGATGGGTTGAAGTTACTTAAGAAATGCAATTGTTGAAAGGCACCCTTCTACGTGTAGAGGAACTTCAGATTAAAGCTATTGCCAGATCTGCTGAGGGTTCACTTATTTGAGAACTTGGGCAGAATGAAACTAGGATTGCGACTAGGATTGGGATCCCCTGTTCTAATACATAGTTTTCTGCTGGCCGGTTGTGAGCGCTACAAAAATGTACCCTTGTACTGTATGTTTTTCCCAGATGTTTATTAGCCTACATAAATAAACTGAGCATCAAAAGAAACTTACTATATCACTATGCATGCATGCGTTTGAATAAGGTATACAGATTTAAAAGATTTCATGAATTCTTTTGCGTTTTGATTGATTAGTCATTCATGACTGATGGCAGTACACTCAAGAGGTTTTATTTGCGTGAGCACTCTTACCTCATTAGTGACATCGGAGAGTGTGCATAGGTGACGAGGTGGCTTAAAATGATCAACGTCAAGCCTAGTTAAAACCCAATAAAGTTACGCCCCATTTCCAAATCGAACAAGGCCTTCCTGCCATAATTTTTTTACAACATCTTAGGTGGACTCGACGGCATTGGAGCCAAGTCGTCTTTCACGATGAATCAAAGTTTTGTGTACAGCTCCCCAGTGCTCGGAGAGTGTGGTGCTGTAATTGTCGTGCTGTGCCGTGGACACCATAGATCAACTGAGAAAGATGTTCTTGGGGACTAGTGAATGAGCACATGAATTTCTAGGTCCTGCGAGCTGAATAGGAGCGAATCCCACTAAACAGCATCTGCAGCCTGGAGCGACTCCCGCATGTGTACAGATAGGGTTGCCTCTAGTTTTGTCCAGACTAGCACTGTGACTTTCACGACTGCCTCCCAGCTGCTCAACCCTGTGGATCACAAGTGTTAATAGTCATGAATTTGCCTGTTTTTTTTGTCATTTGCCTGAGAATACCTTTGTGATTTTGTGAGTTTGTGTTGCTGCTCAGTATATTTATGTACAGTATATGTGCACACGTGGGACTCTGGAGTTAGGTTGACCGGTTTTCTGAATTTCAGATAGATGGTCAGTGCTTGGGTAAGAATTTCCTTGTGTTTTTTAAACTTAGTGTATTAGCAGGTTGAAAGCACAGAGTAAACTTACAGCGTGGGCCCTGTTTTTAGTGTTCAACCAGTACAGTATGTCCTTTGGAAACCTGCACCTAAACTAGAGACCTTGTGTTGAAAACCTAAAGAAAAACTGATCCTACTTTTGCATTGTAAAAATAAAATCTACAGTCAACCTGAGATGCTGTAAAGGAATGGTTTAAAAATAAAGCCTTTATACACACAAAATATTAACATAATTGATATAAATTCCCTAATCAAAAATTAAACAGTATTTGAACTAGATTTTGCATTTTTCCTTCTTTCATTGGGCCCATTGAGATTTGTTTGTGATACAAAAGAAAACTGACATGTGCTTTGTTCTGCTAATTTTTGTGTTGCTCACTTAATGCCTCTTCATCTTATTGAACTGTCTTAAGAAGACAACAGCAATGCATGTCAGGGGGATTAGCGCTCTCGGAAGGTGTGGAATTGATGAAAGAACCACAGAAAACAATATCAAAGCTCTGAGTGCAGACTGCAAGTGATATTGGAGGGTATACTGTTTGTGAAGGTGCTTAAGGTGCAGATTTTTGTAGAGTACTACATTGTAAAGGTTCTTACCATCCATTCATCACAGAAAAATATGTGATGCATACGTTTTATAAATGCACAAGGACCAGTTGATTCTGCTAATAATTTGAATAATGAGAGTGGAACAGCTTCCTTTTAATTTTTTGTCCTTGTTCTTTTCACCTGCATTAATCAGCAAACCATAATACCATCTAAACCATGAGATTGTTTGTTTGCTTGTTAGTGGTGAAATCCAAACACTTAATTTGGAACTCAGAAGTAAAAACTCTTTGTTTGAGGGTCCAAAGCTTCCAGAATTTCCCAACACTTGACAGACTGTCATTGGAATTAATGAATTTGACCCATTAAACCGATAGATTTTACCGTGGAGATTTTCAAATAGTAATGCCATTGGGAATCTGGAATCTTTATGTATAAACATCTGTTTTTGGTATTTTCAGTATTTGCTATGCATATTTTGTTATGAAGAAACTGGGCTGATCTGATTCCTAGTGTTGATTCAGTGTATTAATTAAAAGTGATATTTACAACTATTTTATATTTTCATGGGAATATGAAAAAGTGTTAATGATTCTCATTCTCGAGGACTTAATTTGCTTCTGGAAAAATATGTTTTTTGTTAAACAGGTGTATCACCTGTGTTGGGGGGAAAAAAATACTCTGCATCTGTTTCAAAAACAAAATGCACCAAAGGTGATTCTGGGAGCTGCTGTTGAAGCTGCAAAGAGATAGGTTGAACTTGAGGAGGCTCAGGCTGATCAGGCCTGATCGGCACACTAACCCTGCACTGAGAGACAGGCCGTGCAGGGCTGGGAAAGTGTTGGGAGTTGAAAAAGCTGAAATCGTGGCTTGTGCCTGGAGATGGCCAACTGCTGCAGATGTTGGTGCATCCCTGCTGCAAAATCTTGAAACTCCTATGAAAAGGGGTCATAGCCTAATGCCAGTGTAGGAGGGTGCCCTGCCATGTGACTGTGAGCCCATCGGTATGTTCAACTAATTCAGTACAATGTCTCTCACTGCTTGGTGTGTTCACACCCGGACCCCTCTAACTTGCCTGAGTGTTACAGCCAAACTGCTTGCCAGTGTTAGCCAACAGTGGAAGAATCAGCTGAAACAACTTTTGTTTACCCGAAATGTTAGTTTAAACCATTTCAGTATCTGTAGTTTATGACTCCTCCTGACACCAGTAGTAAAACGTGAGAATTCACAATACAATTAAAACTTTGTTCTCTATAGAGGAGAAGACTACCATATGAGCCGTGTTTATTAGGAGATTGATAGACATCCTGTTGTATCAAATGAGAGTCTTGCATCATGGCAAAATCTGCGTTTTTTCCTTCATGGCAAATTGAAACAACTAAGAAGGTTGGTAGGAGAGTTTAGTCCATATATGCTACAGGTCACAATGGAAACATTAGTCATGGGTGTCAAAGGTGTTAAAGAGAAATAAATGGCTGGAGTGAATGAAGTACAGTATAAAGCATGTGGCAGCAGCTATGTGAGTAGAGAAACTAAATAACAGCAACAAAAGTGAAATTTTTGTCCTTGACTTTTAAGAGAATAAAACCAGCCCTCCCCTCAATTCACTCCACTCTCACCATTCCAGACAACAAGAACAGGAAGGAGCTCCAAACACACCCAAAGAAAGATCACTGACACCCATGTGGGTACCCCCCCTGTCCCAATTCCCTCTTGTTGAATCTGTGACAGTATCACAACACAAAGTCACAGATTCCACAAATACAGTATACATATTACGCAAATATTTGCCATTTGTAGTTCACAACCATTAGAAAAAAAGACAACACACTATTTTAAAACGTAAAAACAAGGATTTTCAATTTCAGAAGGAATTCAAGGGGGTTAGGTACTGTATCTCTTTCTGTGACATAATGAACATACAGTAGGATATATTGGGTGTACAAGATATACTTTCCACATGAGAAACATTGACACCATCCTATGCATCTAAAGCTGTCTCAGGAAATGCAGCACAAAGAGGGTACCTAGGCCTGACCTTTTCCAAATCTGCATAGATACAGCGAAGGAATGTTGGAGAGAATAGTTTTGAGGGAAAAACACCATTTTAATTCCATCAGCTCTGGTGAATTGAGCTCTTCAGACATTGGCTGTTATACCTGTAGCCTTCTCCTGTGAGCTTCCAGAAACGAAGCAAGGCTGGATGTGGTCTGTTCTTGCGACGCGGCGATAATGGAGATGGTGGACCAGCAGGTGTTGTCCTGTGGTCCAGAATTTCCAAACCCCAGCATCCTGACTACTCATGAAAGAGCCAGTGGCACTGTTTGTAAACAGTGACCTAGTGTCTTTCCAAACTTCTGCTCTAAACTTACTAACTTACTAATATGGCTTACTTAAATGTTCCCTTTAATTCAATCAGTGACACAATTTCTCTGCTGGTATATAATTGCTGTGCATGACCTAGGTGGGTGCTGCACTCTGGTAGAAGATGTAGTGGGTTCTGTCTTGTATATAAAGTACTTTAAGGCCCTTTGAGATGAAAGGTACTAATTAAATGCAAGAAGGTGTTATTAGTGGCTACTAGAGAGCAAATAAGCAAAATTTGCCCATTTATAACCTCTTGCATTCTCAAGTTCTTATGATTCACCTTGGATAGGGATGCCTGCTTTGCATGTTATGAATAACAAAAGCAATATAAAATGTGTATGTACAAGTGATGGGTACAGGATTATGGATTTGAAATATTTCGTAAAGTTATTTGTAAATGCAGTTTTAAGTGTACATAGAAGCCTTAGTATAAAAAGTATTTAATAGCTTCTTCTATTAATGTTGAATTCGTTCATCATGGCAGATAAGCTGAGCTGCCTGCAAGATGGAAATCAATTTAATATCACTGGGGGAATTGAATGCGTTGTTCCCTGGTAATGGATTCCTGTTATATTGCCATGTTGTGGTCAAAGGCTGAGATGTCAGTAGCCTGTGAGGGATCCAGTTTGTCCCATAATGACCTCAACAACGTATTTGCAAAGTATTGCACAATACTGTTGATAAATTTATTTCTTTTTTGAAAACCCCCTCGCTATTCAAATAATCATCGATTACATTGGTATCTTGTGTTCACTGCTATAACACAACTTTTTGAAAATCTCCCCACATACACACGCAGTTCCTATCTTTGGTTTTAATGATTAGGATTCCTTACATTGTTCTCAAACACTGTCTTCATGTCTTCTTCACTAAAGAAGGTTTAAAATGAAATGTTTCCTTTTGTCTGCATTACATAGCGGCGCTTTACATAACTCACAGGCTAAGAGAGTAAAGCCCTGCTATGCAGTTATCTTATTAAGTCTGCTTTCATGGAGAAATGGTCTTCTGTGAAGACAGAAAGTGTTGTGTTACTAATCAAGGTTATAAATCTTTTTGCACTGCTTCTTCTCTATATGATATCAGGACGACAAGGTGATTGGGTTTGTTGAATCAGGGGAGATTGTAATAAGTTTTGATGTAAATCCTGAGATGAAAAGATCCCAGTATTTACATCTATGCTGATTGTAGTGAGACTTATGCATGTGTTTACATTGCTGTGTGTGATATTTTTCTCTTATATATTCACTGTAGGTTGACTGATGTTATGGCTCTCCAAATTTGTTTTGCTTTGCTCCAAAGCTCAGAATATCTCAGTAGAATAACTTAATTGGTGTTAAAGGGTTTCCTCATAGCTCATAAATGTTATATCTTTAATTTAGATGTGAAAGTCTTTCATTTCATTCTTATTAAAACATCCTGCATGCCTATTTTGTGCAATTGTTTTTGTATTCAAGAGATTTGGAGAATAACGCAAACAGGGAAGATTGAACTGTGAAAAATGAGAAAATTAACATTTATGAGTTTGTATAAACAACTATAAACTTTTTATTTTCATCACCTTCAGTCATCCACTTTTCTATAGAGAAGAAAAGCTTCTACATACCAGTGTTGTTTCTATTAATATGTGTAGAAAATCATAAATGTAGTCAATGTTCATAATTAGAAGTTTTGTACATTTCTTTATTCTTAGAGCTGGAATGCCAAAAATTAAAGAGGAACGCACACTTGAAGTTGAGTGTGAACACTCAACTGTGCTTAAAACCGTTGTCTGCATGTACTGATGAAGGCTGTTGGATACTGAAACACTGACTGCATTGAATATATTTTTGGATTAGGGAGAGTGTGCATCCAGTTCATTTGATAGTTTTTTCAGAGAGCCATGTCCAGAGTTATTTTTGTATGGAAAAATAATTAAAAATAAACATTTAAGACTGATATTGGCTTGGCATTTCCTCCAGGAGCCTTGACTGTTTGAATCAGTTGCGGTGGTCCTTTCAGAATGATTTCCAAGTTCTCTCCCCACGGTTGGGAACTTCAATTAAACCAGATAAAAAAGAACATCTAAATCCCTTTATATTCCTCACACCTCAGTGACAAACCTGCCCCATCATTTTTTTCTCATAGTAGTGCGCTGAGCCATTTTCCATATCGATTTATATAACATAATACGGACCAAATATGTTCCTGTCAGCTGTGGGCATCTCTACAAAATGCCAAAAGACAGATTCACTGTTGTGTTGGGGACTCTATATCCCATCCCCATCAGGAACAGTTTCTGAACATCAGCTAACACAACTAATTTAAGAGCAGCAACCAAACAAACATCATTTCTGTTTTGTTTTCTCATTTTCTAGTCTCATTGTTGTGACATAGGCCTACAGTATATTGGGCTTAGTTCTCCCTGCTTGTTTACTTATTGAGTTTGGACATTCATCTTGAATCTGAAGTAGATGGATATGTCTATACATCTAATTGAGAAAATAAATGTCTGCTCCTGTTGCTCAAATTCTGCTTCTTTTATCACTGGCAAAATTCCCCTTCCCCATAATAAGGGATATATTATAATTGGATCTAATTTCAACTTGAAATAAGGACAAAGGAGGAGAAAAATACAACAAAAACACTGGTGTTAGCAGCTACTGTAGATTTAAAATAATGTGTTTAGTGTAAAAACATACTGTGACATTCTTCTAAAATTGTTCCTTTCTACTCTGTGCTAATTTTTACTGTTGTTCGTTTCTTGTCCAGCATTTTGAGTATTTCATGCAAATACTATTCTTTAATGAGGAAATGACTGAATGGAAAACATTGGCTGGGTTTACATGCAATGAAGACACTCCTGCTTCTCTCGTCATTACTGTGGGGATTTAACATACAGTATCATGCATGCTTCTCGCTCAAACGTGCAGAGCAGAGTTTAAATTCCTGTATCACACCTAACAGAGGTTCAGACTAAAATTACAGGTGTTGTGCTTGGCAACAGCTTCATAAGTACATTTATCTTCCAGCTATATTCACTTGTACAGCTTGGTTCTTCCTTGTGTAGGTGAAGTATAAAATACAGGGGTAAAGGTGCCTGTTTACAGGAGAGCATGTATTTTACGTAACAATGGCTGGTGAACATGTGGGTCTTGAACCCTTTTCTTGCAGCTCCATAAACTCAGCTGCCACCAGGAATTTGAACTGCAGAGGAGCAGGTGTGTGCACATGATGAGCATTTCTACCCAATGCTTGAAAGCAACTCCAGATTGCCTCAACAATGCTGATCAGTTTAAACCATGAATGAAAAATCGGCAAAGCTTATTCCACCAGACTGTGGAAGTTCTCAAATTATTCTTTACTGGTGTTGCCTGAAGGTCTGTATTAAGGGTAGACTCACGGAAGTCAAACAAAACACATCACAACAGACATGTTTATGTCATTAGTTTTATTGTGAAATGTTTGTTCATAGACAAGTTTGAGACAAGATTATTGGCATCAGCTGTTGATTGAAACGATTTTTGAATCATTTTGGTGACACCAATACACTTTTTGGTGTTGTGTGGACTATTTCTCCAGTACATCTCTACATGCTTGTAGCAGAAATACTCATATATTGTAGACACAATCTTTTTGTGCGAGGCAACCACATGTAAGCATTAACAGAAGAAAGGAATGACAAATGTGTCAGTGTAAAACAGGTGCAGCTTCTATGTTTGCATGTAAACCTATCCATGGTTGCCAATTTGAAGTCTGATTTCCTTAGAGTGAGACTGTGGAGATCATGAGTCAAGAGCAACCTGTCAAGTATTCCTCTTCTGGTGTGTGTGGTACAAACTGTGTGTATACCATATTACCTGTAAGTGTGTGTATATATAAGGCAATGGATTTTGTCCTGTGTTTGTGTGCAGCAGTCTTCTGCTGACCTTCCGTGAAAGGGGAATAAAATATAGCCTGTCACTGTTTAACAGCATTTAAAAGCTGGCTCTCTGAAGGACCCCCTGCTTGACGATCAGGGCGACTTTAACAGGATGTGTGTCGCGATGAAGAAGATCGGTCTGGATGACACGGAGAAACTGGACCTCTTCAGAGTGGTAGCTGGGGTTCTGCACCTGGGCAATATCGATTTTGAGGAGGCAGGAAGCACCTCAGGTGGGAGGGCGCCGTGTTTTCCGACCTTCAAGTTTCACATAATGCAAGAAAGTCCGTTACGCCCTATGCGTTCACGAAGTTGTCACAGTCCACTCAGTCTGTTCTTGGAAGATCTCCCTGTGACAGCAGCACAATTTCCTGAAAGATCCTGCTGAACCTGTCCAAACTAAGAGAAACTCCCTCAAAGTCTGTGGCCTTTTCTTCTCTTCAGTTCACTTTCTAAAAAAATACACACTTGACCTATTGCTTTCATCCTTCTCAGGTTTTGAAAGCATATTGCAATCTCCTCACAACTTTTCTTTCTTTATACTAAAGGGCAGCATGAATCCAAGAAGTATGCTTTGCCAGTATATTGCATGAGGGTTGGTTTATTGAACACAGGTTGTGTAGATGATTCCCTGCAGAAAAGATACGCTGACAAGATTGTTGCATTGTCTTTTTGTCAAATCCTGTGTTATACAGTATGCAGTTAACTCTGAAGAACTATTCCTTGTTGTACTTGTTGTAAGTTCCTGTTCATAGCCAGCATTTTTCACTTTAATTGTTCCTGCGAATTAGTAATTTATTTTTTTTATAATTCTTAAGTGTTTTATGACACAAGGGCTACTCCTGCATACCTTTTAAAAAATTAGAGCTATTAAATAAACTGACTGGTTTGTTTAGTATAATAAGTAGCTTTATTTTAATTGGTAAACGCCTATTTACTTTGAGCTCTCTAGCTCTTCAAGCAGTTCTTTTCTTTTCTTTTTTGTTGTACATTCATGGACAGACGGTTATCCCGCTCGCTGTCTTTTCAAAGTGAGACGCTTGCCTTCACGCTGTTCTCGCCTCTCCGGGGTTGTAGAGGGCCTGGTTGTCCACACGTTTGCGGTTTTGTCGAAGTGTGCAGCCGTGGTGTGGGACTGGAATCCACGGTGGGCTCTGCTGTCTGGGGCGGGGAGCTGATGCGTCAGGGCTGAGGTATCCCCATTGCCTTTCTGCACAGGGGGGTGCACACTGAAGAACCAGTCCAGTCAGACCCTGGAGTATTGTGCAGAGCTCCTGGGGCTGGATGAAGAAGATCTGCGCGTCAGTCTCACTACCAGAGTCATGTTGACAACTGCAGGGGGCGCCAAAGGAACAGTAATCAAGTAAGAAATTGCACCGTTTTAAGTTATTTACAAAGGCAGGCTGAAGCACATCTTTATGACCTGGTGTGTTCTGTGAAAAAGGGCCAGCCTCATTCTGGAGCTCTTAAAGCTCCCTAGACTAGTCAAAAGGATGAAGACGGGGCCGCTGTGAAGGCCAGGTACTCTGGAACAGGCCAGTTCCCATTTGTGTTGAGTAAATAGGTCCTCTTCCAGTGTGAGAATTGCCTTGGCCACTTTAGTTGTCCATTTCTTCTCACTGGCTGAGCCTTTTCAAGAGTGGCCTACCAAAGTGATTGCATGGAATACTGAGGTAGTCATAGAAAGTGTACAATGAAATTTCAGAGATTTAAAAATCTCTCTAATGAGTGATGGACAAAAAAAATATGCTGCAGCCTTGTTGTTATTCACTGAATCAAACAAATAACCTTGCCTTTACCCCTGCATGGATTTTTGATATACAGTATATTAAAGTAAGATTAACCGGCATTTTGTCTCATTGCTTTTGTAATAAGTAGCTAAATCTATTTTGTGACGCAATAATAAACCCTTTCCCTCGTAAGTGAACAAGAACTCTGGCTTAATTTATCTCCAGTGTCATTTGAAGCATTTGTTACACGTTACATTTGGACAGCTACTTGGTAATTAAAGGTTTGTATTCACGCTTCGTCGACATCAGTTGTCTTTTGTCACTTCTTCAGTCAAATTGTGTTTTGTTAAATATGTCTTAATTCTAAAACGCCCTATTCCAACACTGGAAAAGTGAAGCATGTTCAAGATTCAATTTAGGACTAGTTAAATCTGGATTTAAAATGGTGGTGCTTTGTGAGATTACCTCTTGAGTTGGTCTGAGCGGAGGTTTGGTGTGGTGAGAAAGAAGCTCTGTTTGTAAAACTGGTCTGGAAACCAGATTCATCACAATACCCTTCAGCCAAATCCATTGAATAGGCAGCGTCTGTGTTTGAACATATTTGTGTACGATTAATACTGACAATTGAAAGTGGTTAAGTGACTTAAAAGGGCAGGAGGGGATTTAAATTCAGCTGTTACATCTAAGTAGTCTATTTTTACAGATTGCATAAGACAGAAAGCCTCCGTTAAATTTAGTACATTTCAGGATCACTTTAGACATTTGCACAGGACGTTAATCATTTTTCCTTTGACCGTGCACTGGAGGACAGTAAAAAATAAAAGTGAGACGAGTTACTGATATTGCAATTTTGCTGCTTGGAGAAAGACGAATCAAATTTTTTTTTCTGAGCTTGTTTCTAATATTCATGTCTGTGATCTGAATAGTGGTACATTTTGGAGAGTTGACAAGTTAAAAGTGAGGTTGACTGCTTATATGCAATTTGTCAAAATTGAAAAGACAAACTTATTAATGTTGGCTGATGTCAAAGACAGAAGAAATGGCCCACATTCTTATTGTGATCAAAATCTGATTAAATGTTTATCGGTTAAAGACAGGTATGTGGGAGTTAAATTTGATAGAAATGAAAGCGCCCCATGTTCAGAATGAAAATGATGGACATAATTTGTATGTATAAAATGTATGCCACAGGCCCAGAGAGTGCTTTGAAGAAAAATAAAAAAGGGTTGAATACAAAGCATCAGATATATCACTGTCAAGACAGTGACAGAATGTGTTTCCAGAGAGATCATGACATGCTGCACAGAACTGTATTTAAATGCTATACATTGTATCGTAAAAAGCAGCATTGGTACCCTTAACAAGGATCAAAGGAAGGTAGTTTTTCCTAGACTTAGAAGATTAAATTGAAAATGTTCAATCTTTATAGCCTTAGTAGATGCCAGTCAAGGGGAGAAGTTGGTTTGAGGTCTGCACAATTTTGAAAGGAATAAAGAAAGTTAATTCAAGCAGATTAGTTAAACCTTAGTTAATCTGGCAGAATAAATCTGAAATGTCAATGAAGAACCAATAAACGCACACTTCTGTTTTTTTGCACAGAGCTGTTAATACGTGGGTGTTTTACAAGTCTTGTTTTATGTTCCAATAAACTCTGTTCTTCGTGCATGTAATGTATTTGAATGAGTTTGTTTGCTGGACTGACTACAGAGTGAACTCTGATGGGGCAGAGGCCTAGTTGTCCTTGGGGGTGTTTTGTGTGTGCAGTATTATTAAATTCTAAGAGCTCGCTGAAATGTAACACTACAATTGGCAGATCTGGAAATATTCTGACTTTATTTATAATATATCCTTTTGTGGGTATGCATATATCTTTATAAGATCACTGTAGACAAGTCTATGAAGGTTGCCCAGAAAGAAATGCTCCACTTTTTTTCTCTCAGGCTGAATTGAATAGCTTTGATGAATTAATTAAAAAAAGATTTGTATGTTACTTTCGGACCAACCTGTGGATGTACACAAATCCTGTTCCAGATGTTAATTTGAAGTACATCTTTGAAGTAGTGTGAATTTATATGTCCTTTCTGTGTTAAGTAATTCCCCAGCAAAAATAACGGGTGAGAATATATCTTGAAGATTATTTCAAAGAACATTTGTGCAAAAGCAAAAATGTAAAATATTTTTACGTTTATCCACCAAAATTCAGCATTTCTTTACTCATGGCCACAGAATGTAAGATATCCTTACATGATTTTTCTTTTTTCTATTAATAAGAATAGTTTTGGTATTAAATTGTATTCAATATGCCACAGCATTCAGTGACCTTCTGTTGTAAAAACAGATTGATTGTAGAAACAATAACTTTACCTTTTACTCAAGGTGATAATCGTAGATAAGAGAAAAGTCAGAACTTCCCAAAAATAGTTAACAGCTGTGTAGTTATAGCCAGTTAAGGAAGAAATTCTAAATTGAATTGGCTTTTATGAATGGAAGCTCTGACCCATGTGTGAGTAGGCTGTCCTTCAGAGAGCAGGTTTTAAATCATCACTGCTTGTGACATCTTTATGACTTTCATCATAGTTATTATATGGTTAGGGCATAATGTGAAACTATGCCACTTGATAAATGAAAAAGGCTCTCAACCTCATTTGGATAAAAAGATTTTTTTTTCCCATGCATTTTACATTTTAAATTTCTATTAAATCATTCACTGTACACAGTAGATAATTAAAGTGTTTCACATGTAAAAATGAAATAAAAGAAAGTGTTTATTTAAAGTTGGTAACAAAAAATCTCTCTTAAGTACAGTACATCTGTTCACACAGAAGAGAAAGTGATTTTTAAATACAGAAGCCAAGGTTGAAATACTGTTGATCTGTATTTACTTCCTGCTATGTGATCCGAGGAAAAGATTCATGCAGTAGCTTTACATCGATAAGCAATGAAATGTGCTGTTGGAAAGTCCCAGTGAACAGCTTTAATCCTGTCTGTAAAGAAATGAACCATGTGTAGAGTTAAGATTTGCTAAATTTGATAAATAAAAGTGATTAAAAGTAGCATGTGTGACATACAGTACAGTACTGTATGTTTGATGTTTTAGTCCATTACACACCAAACACTTGTACATGTTTTTGTAGTTGGGGTGTGGTCCGCACCAATAATTTCTGTAATGGAACATGTACTATTGTTGTGTTTACAGACTTTGTCAAGGCTAGCACCATTAGTCTTCAGGAGTAAAAGCGGTGATGTTTTTTTTTTTAGTTTAGTTTACCAACAGGGACAGAGCACTGCTTTTAAGATGCACCAGAGGTTTCTAAAAGAGCTAATTAAAGCTAGTTTGCACTTGTAGTCCCTGGGAAGGATGCAAAAAAGTGTGCCAAGATCCACGATGCATGCTAATCTGGGTCTACTGTAGTTCGGGGTGCCTGGTGATCAAGTACATTCAGCTACAGTACATGGAAATGAAGGAAGTCAGTTTCCTGCCCCAACCAGTGGTATTTGCAAATGTAGTCAACAAACAAAAGATACATTGCACAGTAAAACATTCCAGATTTTATTGGTGAAAACATGGTTTCAACCATATCTTGAAGCTGACAGAAAAGGTTTTTCTTGGCATTGTACCACACATATGAACAGTCTTTTCTAATTATTTTGGTCTGTTGTTATCATTCTGTGTTAATTGTTTTGCATTATCCTTCAAGAGTCCCGCTGAAGGTCGAACAAGCTAATAACGCCCGGGATGCTTTGGCTAAAGCAGTGTACAGCCGTCTGTTCGATCATGTCGTAAAGAGAGTAAACCAGTGCTTCCCCTTTGAGAGCTCGTCCTTTTTCATCGGTGTCCTAGACATCGCTGGATTTGGTGAGAAACTACCTACTTTGCTGTTCTTTTGCTTCATTTGCAGATTTATGTGCATCAGATATGTTCTGCCTGTTGTAAATTTTGTTAGCTGGCGCTGTATGAATGTGCTCTAATCCTGTGTTTTTGTTTCTCAGAATATTTTGAGCACAACAGCTTTGAGCAGTTCTGCATCAACTACTGTAATGAAAAGCTGCAGCAGTTCTTCAATGAGAGAATCCTGAAAGAGGTATGAAGTTGTGTGTGTTGCCGAGTTGTGTCGGCTTCAGTGTTTGGATTTGTAGTATTTGCAGGGCCATTTTCGTTGATGACATTCATGAATACAAGATATAATCGGGAACAACATCAGTGTGGGTGCTATCAGGCTTAATACTTAATACTATTCAGTATGCATGCAAAACGTACCCCTGTCTTTATATACAGTATACAGTACCATTACTGTAGTAATGTTGTTGTTCTAGCAAGTTCATGCTAGACGTAACACAGACAACACACCAGTGACACACCCTGGGCAAATCTCCTTGTTTACATTGCCCCAACATTGCCATGTTTTTTTCTTTCAGAGGAAATGATGCACCAGTCGCTGTAAAACATGGGTTTCCTTGGAGATCACTAATTAAAGTAATGACTAGGCGCAGTTTTTGCTTACAGTAGATCGTGCAAAATTGCCTTGCAGTGATAACGATTAATGTGAGTTAAGACCCATGGTCCTGCCTGATGGATGGATTTGCTTTAGGTTGGTCTGCAATGCTAGCTGAAAATACATTTCTTTCTGTTCCAGGAGCAAGAGTTGTATCAGAAGGAGGGTCTGGGAGTGAATGAAGTTCATTATGTTGACAACCAGGACTGTATTGGTGCGTTTCTGCTTGCTTTATAGCGGCACAAACACTCTTGGCCTTATGAAACCGTTTTTTAGAGTGCAGAATTAATTTTCCAGATAGCCACAGATAATCCCACATTCCAGATTTGCAATGTCAAACCAAATATAATTTATGCAAATGTGAAAATGTTTTATCTTAAGTTTTGATAAAGATGTGGAAGATGATTCTAAAAAGTCCAACAAAAGATATATCTACAGTATATACAGTGCATCCACCCATAATACAGAGACTAGCCTTAAAACGTGGGTTTGAAAGTCTCAACTTGATTAGATCTGTAGTGTCTTGCCTTGCAGGGGGGAGGTTTATCATGGTAATAATGTTTTTGCTTTTCATGCCTGAGACAAGGAGTGCTTTGTTGAGAAAGCAGGAATAACTTGTGTCATTGACAGAACAAGAAAACATAGTGGGTCATGATGTGGCCTGTAGTTTTCAAAAAGTTTGTCACAGCACCTTACAAATAGATGACACACCACGAGTGGGAGACTAGAGGATCCATTTAAGGATGTTCACAACGGTTTTGTAAGAGTAACAGGGTATTTTATTGTGAAATGACCTTTATCTAATAAGTATCTTCTAGAAATAAAGATAATTAATGTTAGCAATTCGTTGTGAGTGCAGCAATGACAGGCTACAGTAAATTGCAGTTTAGCAGTTGCAGACAAAGTGTTTTCAAACAGAAGTACAAGGTGTATAGCAGCAAATAAACAGTTTAAATACAGGTATGTGGAAAATGGAGATCAATCATCTTAAAACTATTCTCCTGTCTTTCAGACTTTGTATTGCTATATTTTGTATAATTATGATGTACTTAAAGCACAATGTTTTTTTTTTAAGCAGGCACATTTTAAATGAAAATATTGCATGTTTTGAACAAATGTGTTTTGAATTCTGTTGAGCAAACTCACAATTTGTGAGCTAAAAAACTGCTACTTTGTGTTCTGTACCAAAATGAGTTGAATATGTTCAGCCTGCGTTTGCTGAAGAGCAGCACAGGTTAGCCAGTTTTATAGAGAAGCACAATAATAGCCTGCATTAGCTTGCAAAATGGAAGATTATAGAAAAAGGTATTCATTGTGTCAAGATGTGTGGTATGAAGAGTTTTGCATTTTACTGTGATGTCTCTCACAGCGTAATTTTAATGGATGATAATACTTTGATCTTAAAATGATTGCAGGTTTTCTGTGTTACATTAAAATGTATCACAATGAACAAACCAGAGTTCCTCTGAGGTAAAGCGGCAACAAACAAGAAAAAAGAGCCCACCCGCATGATATTTCACCATCCAAAATGTATTTATTGTTCTCAAGTACATTTTACGGTGCAGAGACCCAGATCTCTTCACAGGTCATTTTCAGATTCAATACGAAAGATGGGAAAAATATTGTAGTCCGGAAACTATTAAAAAAAGCTTCAAAATTTGTCAGGCTTCCTTTTTTCATGTACTGTACAGTAAGTGGCCAGGATTAATTTGCATGTTTGTACTCCACTCATCTCCCTATAATATTTTTGCTTTAAGCCTCCCTATTGAATGTGCCGTTGTTGGTTTGTTGTTAGACCTGGTTGAAGCGAAGCTTGTGGGTATCCTGGACATTCTGGATGAAGAAAACCGTTTGCCTCAGCCCAGCGACCAGCACTTCGCCGAAACAGTGCACAATAAGCACAAGGACCACTTCAGACTCACAGTGAGATATCTTTCAGTGATTTACAGTATGGCAGTTTGCACAGTCCTGCTCATCTAGAAGTGATAGTAACTGCCATCAGATAAATGAATATTTAGTCGTGTTCTTTACCTATATCCTATAGTGCCTAACTATAGGAAAATGTATGCTGTACTGAAGCTCATACAGTAGAAACACGCAAATGGTTTCTTCCTGTTTGGTAAAACAATGAACTGAATCTAAACTAAGCCAAAACAGAAATAGGGGAAATTTCAAGGCGAGTCCAGATCTAGAGGAAGCATTCTCCTGTTTTAGATAGACCTGGTAACTTACCTGTCGGTGGCATTGAGTTATTAAATATACAGTAACTGAATATAATGCCACATGTCACAAAAGCTGGTTGGTCTTGTTTCTCATAAATTAACCTCTTCATCATTTAGTGAGGCGACGAAATATGACTGACTATTGTTCTAACATACAGTAGTAAAAAATCTTGGCAAAGACAGGAACATAACATCACCGAAAGTATGTATTATAAGAACTCCAAATTCCACCCAAAAAGTCAATAATTTAAAGTTTACATTTAAGAGTGAACTAATAATTTTTAATGTTCCTCAGATCCCCAGGAAATCCAAGCTGGCCATTCATAGGAATGTGAGAGATGATGAAGGCTTCATCATCAGGCACTTTGCGGGAGCTGTGTGCTATGAAACAGTATGGTGAACTTCTGCTTGTTTTATGAATCGTTGCCTTATGAATCGCTTTAAAATACATTTGGTAATGTAGATGTTACCTATACATCTTGAAGATAATTTGACCTTTTTTTCCCCGAGAGCCCAGGATTGTAATTGTTTTCATTTTCAAAATGTTTTTATACAAGCAGGGTGGTTGGTTATAAAGGCTGTTTTACGGTTTCGTGATCCTTTGTTACTTTGTTTCCAGACCCAGTTTGTGGAGAAGAATAACGATGCCCTGCACATGTCTCTGGAGTACTTGGTGTGCGAGTCTAAGGATAAATTTGTCCGGGAGCTTTTTGAGAATTCCAATAACACAAAGGACTCAAAACAGAAGGCCGGAAAGCTCAGCTTCATTAGTGTGGGCAACAAATTTAAGGTGAGCTATATGAAGGAACTGTACTGATTAAAAATACTGTAGATGCATTTGTGGTTATGTCTTTGAAAGTGGTCATTTTAAAAGGTATCTTAATCTGAGAATTTAATCTTTTTGGATGAAATTCGGATTTAAAAGTGTTCGCTTTCCATTTTCATTATTTCATTAGGCCTGGTTATAAACATAAAGCTTTATATGTTTAATCCAAATGAATACCTGCTGTTTTCTAGCGGTAAAGCAAGATGTTAAATGTAAAAAAAAAGAACATTTTCTCCATGAAATGTTGCTTATTGCTCCTAGAACAGATTGTCAAAATGCTTGGCTTCAGTCTGATAGCATTGGTACAAATGGGTTCTATTATCTCGGAAACGCAAGGGTCTAAAGCTAAGAGAACATCAGGAGATGTTGCTTTCAAAAACATTTCAGCAAGAGAGGCTTTCTTCCATCTGAGGCGACGTGTTCTCTTTGTGCTCCTGTTACCTGCGACCGTGTGTTCTAATGCTTCTCCCTCCCACTGTTCTCCTCTCTTTGTTCCGCATCCTAAACATGTAGAGCTCCTCCCGTTCCTGATCCTTTTCCTCAGAAAACTCTTATTTTTTTGCTGGATAAAAAAAAAAGCTATAGGGATTTTATCAGTCACGATGAAAAGTAGAATCATCCAGAGAGGCAAGGTAACTAGTCTCTGTTGTCACTCACTGCATCTACGGAAGAATTAAGGAAATGCTTTTTGATTGAGTCAGTTAACCCCTTTCAGCACCGTTTCTCCTCCGTAAGGAGCCCTGTCTGGAAGTTGTTGCCTTGTGTTTCCGTCCCTATTCCTTGGCACAGTGCAGTTTATTGTGAGAAGGCAGACAGCTGTTTGTTTTGGAGGAATAGGGAGACATTCTGACGGATAGAAAATGTTCATTTTGAGTCTGTCTCTGCGAGGTTGTAATGGCTAGGACTTGATTCACAGACTTTATTCACATTCATTTAAGGTATATAAAGAACAACATTACATTATGTGTATGGATTCATAAAATTCAGATGTGTTTACATCGCCCTTCATTTTTGTCTTTTAATATCTGGTGGGTGTGATTTGGTGTTATAGGTGTTCTTAAGCAGTATTTCTGGGAAGTGAGAGAATTTCCAAAGTTAAGAACTGCTTTTGGGTAAAGCAGAAGATGGAAAATAATCAGTAAAAACCATTGAGAGTTTCAATAGGAATATAATTAATTGATTGCAAAGACTATTTCCAAGAAGGTTTTCAGCTTACTCCTTTCCGTACTTACAGATCCTGTCGAATTGCCTGTAGTTTGTAGGTCAGTAAATAAGATTCTGTACTGTGACAAGGAGTTTTTGTGGGCATGTTATTCAGCTGCTACAGACAGCCGATACTTGAAAAAGACAGGTTATTGATTTCTAGCCCAATAAAATGTAGATTCAGAGAGAATAGTACAACAAATTAGATCCAGTTCATTACATAGCCGTGTTTAACTTTAAAAAATAAGCATCGGAATATCATGTGGCTGCCAACTGTGCATTGTCAGATGCCTGTTTTTTTCAGGTATCTGCATTAAGTATTCACCCTTCACAGATCTTTGGAAAACATATTTAGTTTAATTGGATTACTGCCCATTGAGTATGCTCAGCCTCCCCATTGTATAATACTATTTTAAAACAAGCTCCCAATCAAATTCCAAGCTATATCTAAAGCTTTGTAAAAGTACCATGTTGTTAAAGGTATTGTAGAGCCTTTGGGAGAACTATTTTGAAAACAGTCTGAAAAGGGTTACCTGCTTCTTAGTCACTGCATGGCAAACACATTTGTTTCCTGAAAGTTTTTGAAGCTCACCAGTCTGCATGGTGCCGATTATGTGAAATGTCTTTGCTTTTTTAAATGTGAAACCATAGGAATGCTGGTTCTGTGTTTTAATCAGCACTTTACTTTGTTTTTAAAAGGATCTGAATTGGAGGCCGACACTTGTGAAGTATTTGCAATTAACCTGCATGTGCTGTGATTTAGAACTCATGTTATTAGTTTCTGAGCAAGGCAATTTTTTGTTTTACAGACGCAGTTAAATATTTTACTTGAAAAGCTTCGCAGTACGGTATGTATTCAAACTTAAGAACTTGTTTTATTTGAAATTAGTTGTATTTTTTTTACAGCATATATAATGTCCAAAGCGAAATAGTCAGGGTTTTTATTTTTAAATTCCGCCAAGATACATCAGGGTGATGTTTGTAGAGCCTCCCTGCTGCAAATTAAACTAATAACCTTCACCTCATGGAAACTAATAGACTTTCAATCACCCAGTTCCACTTGAACTTAAAGTTACTTTCCCATTCTTCATCGATAGGGGTCTAGTTTTATTCGCTGTGTGAAGCCAAATCTCAAGATGGTCAGCCACCAGTTTGAAGGGGCACAGATCCTCTCCCAGCTACAGTGTTCAGGTGTGTATAGATGCTCTGTTGCTTTGGAAACAAGAACATTTCCTTTCAGATCCAGTGCAGCTCACCACAATAGATCAATTTAACACTATGATCTCTGTTGCAGTCCATGTATATAAACTCTTGAGTGACTGGTGGACATCAATCTAGCTCAGTGGTCTCCACAGATGTCGATCGACCAGCCGGCTGGAGTTCTGTGACAGTCGGTCTCAGTCTCACTCCCTCATCTTGTTTTGTTTTCTAGCTGAAGGCATATAGATCCATGGTTGTACTAGAACCTTTTAAAACACTCACTGTGGGGATACTTGGATGTATCTGCTAATCCACTTCACGTAACCAAGTTACAAATTCACAATGGCTCCCATATTCACATTTAAACCGGGACCCATGACTATATGGAATTGCAGAAAACAAATATCAGTCTAAGGTTTGTTCTCACTAGAACATGATATTGATCTAAAAAATCCATATCAATGTGGTTTTTTCATATCCTGGGCTGGTGCACACTGGACTCACAGATACCGCAAATGTTAGCCATATCATTAGTGTCAAAGCAATTGCATATCGTTTATACTTGAGTTCATGCAGTAAGATACTGGTAAATGTGTGGAATGTGCTGGTAAACTTGCATCTGTATGACCATTCTGTGTGAACAAGCTTTTTGTATTGATAATCTAAAGTAGCAAATCTCTCTCACCCTGAGATATGTTCTTGATCAAGGCTATGATAGCTAATTCAGGCCAACTGTGACTTCAGCGAGCACAAAACCCATGTTTCCATTTCCTTCCTGTATACCATATATCATCCACAAAAGAGATTTGTGTGTCCACATTGGCAGTTTCATATCCACCCTGTCCATATTGTCCATATTTCATTTTCTTATTGCGGAGACCACATTTTTGTGGGGTCATTTGCCTCAAGAAACCATACTGGAGCTCGTATTTTTTAGGAGACTAGAGGTTCTTAAAAAGTCCTGGCTGCAGGTTTATGTCTTGACCCACAAACTACAAATCCATCATCACCTATACTTTAAACTTACCAACAGTATCCATTAGTAATGCAGTTTTGTTTAAGAAGACCCAGACACTTCTAGTCCTGCCTGTTCTCATTTTCTCATTTGACTTTTTTCAGTGACCTGTTCTGAGTTTTAGGTGTTTTTGTTTTATCTACAGATGTGCCGACCACTTTGTTGTTTGATGGCATCATCAAGTGTAAAAACCAAGCATATCAAACATCAACAAATAATTGTGACATAAAGTAGGAGTTCAACTGAGTTGATCTCTATGCTTATAGAGTTTCTTATCTACCCTCCTTCTTTGGTTTACCAGTGCTAGTATTAATATGACATTGCTTGCAGGTGTGCAATTGCCTCTTGGAATTTTCATGATAAAATAAGTCTTTAGTATGTTTACACTCACAGATTTCTTTGCTGTTTTGGAATAAGTTCTCACCTATACTTGAATATACCATAATACATTGTTTCAGGTGTCTGTGCTACTGCAACTGCTCCTAACATTTCTTGAAAGTTTTCTATAATGAATTTGCATGGCAATGCACTGTCTTCCTTTGCTTCTAGTTTTCATTGAGATTTTGTCAGTGCTTAGTTTAATGTTTTCTCTTTGTCATCATTTTTCTTTCCAGTACTGTCAGTGAATGTGCTTTACCTACCCTGCATCGTATTGCAAAAAACATTCAATACTATGACTGTGACACAACCTCGCGATTTGTACAGTAGTTCAGCTCCCAAAGGGGAGAGTTTTGGCACAGAAAGTGTTGCTCTTCAATGAGGAAAGCAGGATAACAATCCCATTAAATCTTCCCCGGCTGCTCCACAGGAATGGTGTCCGTTCTGGATCTCATGCAGGGTGGGTTCCCCTCCCGAGCGCCCTTCCATGAACTGTACAACATGTACAAGAAGTACATGCCAGCCAAGCTCACTCGTCTCGACCCCAGGCTGTTCTGCAAGGTAAACCCTCGTCTCTCCTTCACCTTCATTGAAACGCCTCGGGACAATGTTGGAAGTTAACCTGTGTTTAAGTGGAAAAATCAGTTCTTTTCCATCCCTACAATACCTCTTTTCTTTCTGCATGCTTGTCTTAAACATCAAAATGCCTTGTATATACAAATGATCGGTTCTACTTTTTTTGTTTCCGGCAGGCCCTGTTTAAAGCACTTGGACTAAATGAAAACGACTACAAGTTTGGTTTAACAAGGGTGTTTTTCAGGCCTGGAAAGGTAGTAAACCCTTTTTTTTTCCACCACCGCTCTCATGCTTTTGCGTGCTTAACTTGGCGTTTTCTCTTTTTTTTTTTTTACGACAGGCGAAGGGTTATAAAAGAGGGAATGCTGTTTGGCCCATCTGGGTAGTCCGATTGCTGCTAAATAAAAAGTGTTTTTCGGTGTCCCAGCCATGATGGAATCCGTTATGAATCCCCAGATCGAATATCCAATGGATATGTTTGTCTTTTTAGTTTGCAGAGTTCGATCAGATCATGAAGTCGGATCCCGATCACCTGGCAGAGCTGGTTAAGCGTGTCAATAAATGGCTGATTTGCAGTCGCTGGAAGAAGGTGCAATGGTGTGCACTGTCTGTTATCAAATGTATGTAATTCTTTCCTTTCTCTTTCTGCACTATAGGACTTCGCTGCTTCTCTTAAGATTGCCACATCTCTCTTTCTTCCTGATGAGTGTTTTTTAAGTTGGGAAAAGCCCTAACTACTCAAGTACACTGGAGAATGAACAATTGAAATAGGATTATCAACTTTCTTTTTACTGAAGTGATATTGTTGCAGTGCACACAGTAATAATAAAATTGTATCTATTAAAGTTTTAGGACACGCAACCTTTTTAAATTGCCTGGAATGTGAGAAATGCCTTTTATTTGTTTTTTCCCCGCTTACTAAGCAAAAGTACTGCACAGACTATTATACCAAGCAAATGACAGCCCAATGTGTTTTACTGTTGAACTATTGCATTGACCTTATTAGTGCAAATATAGCACAGAAGGGCACACATTGTATTATTTAGCTTCAGAGGAACTATTTCTCCATTTATTTGGTATAACAAAAATAATTTCAGTTTATGGCTTATGTGAGTATAGAATGAGTGCAGCTAATAGAATTTTTTTAAGCTTAATATCTGTTTTCTATTAACGTCTCTCTCCATACAAGTATTTCATATATATACTGTATAAATTGCATTGGTTGAAAATGCTCTGTCTGATGATCTGTGGACAGATGTTGCCTCTTCTTTCCTGCAGTGAAGAACAAGATGAAATACCGGGCGACTGCTTGCATTAAGATGCAGAAGACTGTCCGCATGTGGCTGTGCCGAAAAAAGCACAAGCCTCGGTAGGTGTCGCCTTTTGAAAAAACGTTTCACGTGCCACTCTTCCTGACTAGTTATCAGCTAGTGTGTTAATTAAAATAATTCTGTAACGACTTTTCTTTATCTTCCCTCCCCCCACCACCACCTGCTTGTCGTCCAGCTCTCGTCATAAAATTCACTTTGCGTTTTGTCTTATGCGGCAGCATCGATGGCCTGGTGAAGGTGCAGACTCTGAAGACGAGAATGGGCAAGTTCAATGAAGTCGTCGATGCGCTGAAGGAAGGAAAACAAGAGATGAGCAAACAGGTTCAAGACCTGGAAACATCCATCAACAGCCTCATGGCTAAAATTAAGGTACGTGACCAGCAAGTACATTAGGGGGTTTGCTGAGGTTAGTGTTCCAAGTTTCTGCAGTGCCAGTCGAAACAAAACATTGTAATTCATCATTACCCTAAAGTCTTTTCTCATTTCAAGTCGACTGTGTTATTTCTCAGGCATTGGCCAAAGTGCCTCTCTTCTTTTGAAAAAGGTTATATTAGATATTATTGAAATATAATCATTTATTGGAAATGTTGTCCTACCATGTGTCACACTGAGCGCCGGCAAGAAAGTTGCAAGCATGATTCCAGCTTCACCTGTGTTCATACTGTACAAGGGGTGCCAATAATTACATCATTAGCTCCATAGATATCTGTTAAACTGCTGACAAGTGTTGGGCCCACTGTGTACAATGAGTTAATTCACTTGATACTGTTCCTGCTCATTTGGGTGTATTTTACTGAACAGCACTTTAATCAAAACTAAATGAAATAGAAAATGCCAATAATTTGCATGAAGGGTTTTAATCCTTGAAGTAATAAATAAAAAGTATACTTTTTACATTATGTTACTAACCTGCAATACCCTATATTTTTTGAGGGGTAATTACTCACTTCAAATGTTTTGTAAATAATGCTTATTATGTGCCATTGGCTACAATCCAATTGATTTCAAAGGATAGAAAATGTTTTTTTGACAGGTTGGTTAGGGAGAGTGGATTTTAAAACTTTTTTAATCAATGGTGGTGCTGGTTTACTTAAACATACTGTACATGTGATCTTAGTAAATAGAAATCTCCTTTCCTCAACAGAATAGAATTTCACATTTTCCTCAAATGCTATATATAATCATACTTAGATGATTGATTTATTTGGATCCTGCCTTAAGGAAACTTTAACTTCCATTCCAAGTACACCATTAAATGCCTCCCATAGAAACATAATGCCTTGAAACCATCACAGAAAGTTGAGAACGCTGTTCCAGAGAGGCTGTTTGTTTTTATATCTCATTTGCCAATTTAGAAAAAGTTCAGTTTGGAGTTTTCCTCCAGTAAAGAAATGTTATTAACTGCTAACGAAATTGTGAAGAAGAGGGTTGTTTGGGGAAATGAGTTGCTTCCTGCTGTTGGGTTTATAATAGAAAATATTGGGTAGATAGTGTTAAGTTTGTTGAAAACCATTTCTTGATTTTGCATTAAATGAAGAGATTCTGGTCTGTGTGTTCTAGCAACACTTACAAATGAAAAGTAGGTGGCTGCTGTAGGTGAAAATGAGGTCTTGTGATTTCAGACCAAGCCATGATTCTGTACTTTCTTTATCCTGTACATATTCAATTCCATTTTGGGGGAGACGGGGGAGATGGGGGGTGATGATTGTGCAGTATATTCTGTACTTCTTAACCCCATTCTTGCACCAAAACTGTATGTAGGCCTGGATCCATTCCACGTCATCTCCAGCCTCAGGTAAGGATGTGTGCGTGAAGATGTCGGCGGGTCTCTGTGTGACGGTCGGTCGCCGCTGCCCTCTCTTAGGGGACGGTGCTGAGCCGCGGGGAGATCGACCGGGAGTACGGGGGCCTGGTGGGGCGCTCGGAGCAGCTGCTGGCCGACATGCAGAAGAGGAAGCAGCAGGAGGAGGAGCGGGAGCGCCTGCGCCGCATCGAGGAGGAGATGGAGAGGGAGAGGAGGAGGCGCGAGGAGGACGAACGGCGCCGCCGGCAGGAGGAGGATGAGCGGCGCCTGTGAGTGCCGGGCCCGGCGCCCGTTCGGCAGGGAGCGGTTCTCGAGGCGGGATACCGCGACGAGTTTTAGTCTGCGTCCGATGGGGCTTGGCCCCCTATTGCCTCGTTGGAATGCCACGTGAAGCCAATGACGATCCAGCCTTCTTGCAAACGATGTTCTGGTGACCTTGGTTTTAAGGCTTGTTAGTGCCGGCACCTACACCTCCATAATACCGCTTTTGTCCTGTTCTGCAGTACCCCGTCTGGGAGGCAAACGGTGATCTGAAATCTGTCCTTTCCCCTTCTTCAGCGATCCAAACTGCTCGCCCAATTCTGCCACCAGAAAGCACTGACTCTCGTGGCCACCTGGCTTTCGCTTACTGTAGTTTGATAACTGTTAATACGAGCTGAAGGATGGCCGTTCACACACCACGTTTGTGTGGGCTGTGGAGCAGGAAGGGTTCTGAAGGTTCGGAAGTTCATCCACTGCACCTTTCCCAGGCAGCACCACAACCTTTATGACAATCCTTTCACATGGATTTCAACTGCCTTGTCCCCCTGGCCAGACTGGCCTCCTGAAACAAGCAGGTTTGCTCCTTAGTGTGCCTATAAATTCATCAGCACCAACCTCGGCTAAACTGCTCGTTGTGTCATCATTATATGGAAGCTCCTGTTACCATACTAACTTAACAGTAGTTCTCTCTTTTTCCCACCCATATCCCTGCAATCAGTAATGGAATCTGTCAGGTATAGTTCAGCCCACGCTTCATATTTGATGTTGTTCTGCTCTAGTGTGGCAGACCACAATTACTGGCTTTGAAAGAAGCAGTGGCCTTGTTTCACAGACAGCACTGAAGCCAAGAGGAGGCATCATCACACCTTTGCTGGTGTTTTGCCTGACTACAGGCCCCAAACTCGTGAGCTCAGCCGTGCCATGTGAACATGTCTGTGTCCCTCATAGGAAATCAGAGATGGAATTAAAGAGGAAGCAAGAGGAAGAGGAGCGGAAGAAAAGAGAGGAGGAGGAGAAGCGGCTACAGGTCAGTGTTGTTTACAGGTCACCATTCGGCTGATCTCATTTAGATTATACATGGTGCCTGGCTAAGCCCTTCTTAGCTGACCTTAACCTAGACTGCCCCTTCAGTTCGTAATGCTGGCTTCCCGGACATTAAGGTATTTCACCATAGACTGCCCCAAATGTCTGTCACAAAAAATGTGTGGAGATAAGTAGAAACATTATTTCTTTTTTTAAAAAGCCTGACGAAGTTTAGAAAACTTTAGTCTTCTTCACTCTCCAATATACAAAATACCTATATTCTATATAATTAGCTGACTCCAAGAATAGCCATCACGCAGTCTCCTGGTCTTGCATCTCCTCTCGGGGCATCACAGAAAACAAAATCAAAAAGAGGTTAAATATAAATGTGGTTTTAAGATACCACGAGATACCAGATACCATATCATGGAATGCTCGAGATATTGTTCACAACTTGTGGGGAGGTCTATCCATTCAGTTACAGAACAACATCCAAACAAGCAGCATTACAGGGTAGTATTGTAGTAGTACTTGATGTTGACGTGAAAGAGACATTTATAGCCAAATCCTTTCTCTAGAAAAGTAGTGAGTAAATTGCTCAATAAGTGACATTATTTGATGCAGTATTGTTTACGTGGAGTTGTGTTAATTGCTAGCTTTTCTAAACACATTGGTTTCTAAACCATGGCTTCTTTGTTGAGTGCAATTGATGTGGTTGTCCCAACACTGCTAAAGTACAGACTTCTTCCATGTTTTGTCGGGAGCTTTTCCAGCAGGCAATCACTCTCAGACATGCAAAGTCAGGACAGGCTTGTTAGCGCTGGGATAATGCTGTTAAGATGTCTAATCCGTTCTTACCGCAATTGGCCTGATTCAATTACTTAAGTTACTGGGACCCAAACAATTCTTAACAAAAGCATCTTGAAAGAATGATGTGAGGGATAGATGAGGATTTACAGGATAAGGTTCTGCTTTTACTCTGGAAAGATAGCGGTTATGAGAAGAACTATAAAAGATTTAATTTAAAGAGCGGGGGAGCCTTGTTCTTGTGTGAAATGTCATGTTAAGAGTAATAAATCTTTGTTAAGGTGAATAATAGCCTTTATGAAGGCAATCGCTTTACTTGGCTTGGTAGTTAGGTACTTTATATTGTTTGCCTTCATCGATGCACATTGTTTTGCTAGATTTTATCCACTACCACATGAACATAAGGAATGATACAGATTAAAGTCTTTTTTCTCTTTTATTTATTAGTAGCTTATTCATGAATGCTTTTAGAATTACTGCATGGCAAAGCTATTAGAAAGCTATTAGCTATGAGAAAGGTTGATGCATTTACACTGATACACTTTAACACCCTTTCCAGGCACTTGTCAGTATGTGACTTTTAAATGGGTGTTACATAAGCTAGGACTGAAATCACCCAGAAGCTTCAGAAAATTAAGAACAGTTACTGGAAACCCCAAAATATACAGTTTGCTCCATGCTAATTCTCTTGATACAGTGTAAATAAAAACTGGCTTCATGAAAGAAATGCAAAAGCGCATTCAAAGTGTGTTGCAAAACTAAATAAAATGTGAATAATTGTGACATTATCAATATTCTTGTAATATGTACAGATACTTTCTGGTAGGGATTATGTAACCATTCCTCCATGCTGAACTCCTCCTGCTCCCTGCCCATTTGTGAGTAGTTTTGGAGGTGTGCTTTAGGTCATTATCCTGCTATTGAAAGATATCCTGCTGAAAGTCTATTTGTGAACAGGCTTAAGTGTCTTAGCATTGTGAGCCTGCTCTTTGGGATACATATAATAATACATTCTAATTCCGTTATTTCACCGCAAATCGGTCAAACTGGACAAATAAGACATAGCTTCACCAATTGAATTATGGGGAACCGTAGGGAGGTCAGATAGTTCAGTTCCCAGAATGGAATTTGGACTAACACACATCCTCTTTTAAACATCCCCATGTGCTGTGATCTTTAATCATGATGTTGTCTGGATCTCAGTATTACATCTGAAGGACAGCACCACGGACATCACAGTGACTGGAGTCACCATCCTGGGGTGCTGGTTTGGAAATTTAGGTCCAGGTGGAAGAGCACCACCTCCTGGTCAACCAATTCCTCTTATATCAGGAACCTGGTTTTCCTTAGGGGTCTCCCATCCCTGTACTTGTTTAATGCCTGAGATTTCCTGAGAGGAGATCAGACTGCAGACCACTCTGACACCTCTTCCTTTCTGGACAAGAACATCACCCTTTTCTGCTCTGAACGCATCTGTCCTGCATGCGTGCCCGGAAAGGTCAGCTTTTGTCTCATTCAACTCCAGAACACGGTCTTGGTTGTTGCTGAGGTGCTGTTTGACAGATTCACATCTGTTTATTTTTTATGCTGGAGCTTCATGTGGGACTTCCTGCCAGGGAAATCAGATTCATGCAGCTGACAATGAATTGCACTTCTGGAAACACAAGGGATTGTGCCCTTATGAGGGTTTCTAAAAAGCTCTTAAATTGTCGCCTTGGGTTCAATTTATCTGGCAGCACAGGTCGCACCTTGCCTCGCCTTTCTGATGACACACCAATCATTCTGCCAGCCTTGAAGTTCTAGATGGACGCTCTGAACTGAAGTGTCCGAAGTCTGAACTGGGATGTTCAGCTGTGTTTTGTAGCTTATGCCTCTGACTTGTGGAGGCTGAGAAACTTTTGCCTGAGATTTCCTCACAGTTGCCTTTGCCCATTACAATTAACAATGGTGCCAGGATCACCTCCGTGTGCAGCATCCTTTTCTAACCACTGTCCATCGATGTGGCTGCCAGAAGTTTCTAGAAAATACCAGAGGATGGTCCAGTATTGCTTTTACAGCATTTATTTTTTGATGACTCTGCTGTGTTTGAGTAAATTCGAAGATTATGTAATAAGAAAAACATGACGTTTTTTGTTTTATGCAGTCCTGGAAGTTGTCCGATTATGCATGTTTTCATTTATTTATGCCACGAATACCAAATGCACATTTTGCATGTTCTTTCCCAAGGCCAACTTTGTCCCATTGCATCGTTTAGAGCCCACCGTAGCCTTTCAAATGTCTGTCATGTCAATAGTGTTTCAGTGACTTGTCATCTTCCTTTTTCTGCATCCTGCCGGGTATGCACTGGAGTTTGCAATCTGTTGAGTCCCCCGCGCTCAAGTTAAGATACCACGCTGGCTTTAGAATCGGGCTCTTCGAGGATGCTGTCGTTCAGACAGCATTGTAAGACAATGAGAGGGCGTCTCGCTCTATGTTTGGAGAGAGTGTGTGGCTAAAGCCTCAGCCGAGGGCAGTGAACTCCTTCCGTGTGGCCTCTCAGGCGGAGATGGAGATGCAGCTGGCCGCCGAGCGGGAGGAAGAGGCTCAGCGGCAGACCATTCTGGAGCAGGAGCGGCGCGACCGGGAGCTGGCCATGAGGATTGCCCAGAGCGAGGCTGAGCTCATCGCCGAGGAGACCCAGCCGGATCCCGGGCTGCGCAGGTAACGGCACAGTCCCACCACACCGGTCCCTCCCAGCGCAGTCCCAGCACTGTGCCGCCATGCTTCAGGGTCTGCCAGTCGTCGGGGAGGTAGGGTTTCTAGTCTCAGCCAAGCCGCCTGATTTGCCGGCAGATACCGTAAGTTCATAAGGCTGTCTAAGATGTGAATACATTTCAAGAGGCTCTTGGGAAAAGTCCTCTTGCTCTCTGGAATGGTACTGTAGGAAAAGTTCACATTTTGGTTTCTACCATGCCTTCAGCTTAACAGAGCAAAAAAAATGTTCTGTAACCTGTCTTGTTTCTTTCCACCCAGTTATGGCAGATGTATTGTGACTCCAGTCCCAGCGAGCACTAAGTAAGCCATAAGTGACCCAGTCACTTTAAAAAAACCACAAAACCCCAAAATACTTCTTGCATGCTTTGATTTGTCAGCTACTGTAAATCAATCAAACTGCAATTGAGACTTCTTGCTGGTGCAATGCAATATCGTGATTAACAGCAGCTTAATTTGAGCTGTTTTTAATTGATATCCAAAAAGATTGCATGCGGGTCATTTTATTCCCTTAATTTGTCACCCAGAGAAATCTGTTGCCAAGAAAACGTCAACCACCAAATCAAAGTGAAATATCACAAGAAAATCAAATTTTTTAACATCAATCATGTATGTTTGGAAGTCACTCGTCCAGTCTAATGTCATTATCCTCTGTTTACAGTGCACTTGGACGTCAAAGCAACTTGACAATGTATGTTTTTTCATTTACTTTCTCTTTACATTGCTGTGTACTGTAAATAGGTTTGGAGTGTAGTCATGGCAATGATCATCCAATATTTTAAAGTATTGTTTTTTGGGTGGCCTTAAAAGTAATGTGGACCATTGACCTAGGAGCTCTTTTCTGAACTTTTTCCCATAAAACAGTTTTTCTTTGGTTTAGTTCTTGGGCCAATAAAAGGAGCAAAGTGTTCGGTGTGGGATAGAGTGTCATTCAGATTTGTGCCTATTCACCTTCCTCACCCATTTTGTCAGGAATACCAGCAAGCGAGCTAAAGGAGAGGCTGCTTTACGTACTGTAGTCTGAAGTTGTCGGGAGCACTACCCATGAAGTAGAGTATTTCTGAAACTCCAGACAGAGTGCAGAAAAACGCTAAACAAAAGTTTAACTGAGCTGATCAATAAAAAGTATCAGCAAGCATCAGTATCAACAAGCAGGGCAGTCTCTCACAGGACTGGGGTAAGGGAGTCGTGTAACATGTACCAACTGATAAAAGGGAGTAAATTCAAAAATATCTATTTAGAATCCTTCCCCACAACATAGGAAGTTTGTTGTGGACAAAGGAAATAATAAATTGATTAAGATTTCTCCTGGGAGCTATTTACCTGAATCTATCATGCATTTCTTAAAAGCAAAACAGGAAGAGTTCCTCACAAAATAGCTTGGGCAGTCATTTGTCTTCAGTACTACAGTATATACCGTATAGGTGTGTTTTAAATAAAATTGTAACCATTTTTTTCTCAGTTGCCCTGCCTTTCTTTGCTGTAGCTCAGGGACGTAAGTCTGTACTTTACATGTGGATCCCTGTAAAGTCATTGTTTACCGTGACTTACAGTGTGGATACCACTGACTGTTAGTCGGCAGGAACAGCCTTTATCATCTTCCCTTCTCTCTGGCTGGCCCTTTTCTTTATTTTAATGAGTATTAACAAGAAGGACAAGTAAATGGTTTGTTGTTTACCACTGCATAAAGGCAAAGGCATGAGCTCATTAGTGAGTCGGCTGTCCGTACAAAAAGCACTGGGTCTGCTGATGTCAGACCCTGAAAGAAGGGTGAAAATGTGCACTCCAGGCCGTCTTGGCTTGTTAAAAATTAGATTTAGTGAAATTGTATTTAATTTATTTTTTCCACTTTTCTGTGCCAGATCTGTCCAATGAACTAAAATATTTTTTGAAGTGTCACAGCTAATGATATTTCATAGCATCATCATGTGGTGGCAGACTTGGTTAATAAATTCACCCCAGAATCTGGATTTGCTTTCATTGCCCCTTTTGGCAGATGGATGCCTGGCTTGTGCGTTGTGCCAGCTAGAGAATAAATCCTTATCAAAGAGATACTCCTGATCTCAAAAAGGTTGAAGCTGTCTCTAATGGATTGTACCAGAAAATGACCATCCGTTTAAAATAACCACATTATAACTTCTTTATTGCATAATTATAATATCCTTTTTAGGGAGGAAATGGCCAAAGAAATGACTGAGCTGCTGGCTAGGTGGGTAGCAAATCTAATGTATGGCATTGACTTGATCATCATCACAATCCCCCCAAAAAATGGAATTAATGTATTGGGATCCGTGGAGTAACTGACATGCCCTGTGCTGCTGCATGCCTTTAATTCTCTTAATTTGAATGTAATTCATTGTTGTTTTTTGCTTATTGTTGATGAAGTGTTGTGTGTTGAAAGCTCACGGAGGTGCTGCAGACTCTCGATCAGACTCCTCAGTTTAGTGTTGGGCTACAGTAGTGATTTGAATTTAAAAAAAAAAATTACAATGTTTGATCCAAAGAAAAACAAATGAATAGCTATTTTTTTCTTTCCAGCGACATTTGACGTCTTTCAAATATGTGAGGGACAAAAGAGAAGGGAACTGTTTTCTGCATGGATTGCGGAAAATGTTTCTTTTTAAGAAATTCTGAAATAAGGCCTTGCACTTTATCTGAAAGTTCTGTTTCTTGACACATCAAGTTTGAGATAATCCACCGTAATAACTAACATCGTTATGAAACTTAAAATGGGAAATTGGTATTGCATATAAACATAATTTTAATTGTATTCCATTGTATGTTTTAATTAACTAAATGAAAATAACGGCAGTTTAATTTTGAAACATAAGTCAAAATGCATATACTAAGCAGATACTCTTTATCAACACTTAAACAGAGCAGACAATTATTTCATAGTTCAGTAGTTTTCTTCTTTAAGACATGATAGCCTTCCAGGAAACTCTTAATCTCTGTACTTTGTGGTAAATAATTCCCCTAAAGATAAGCATTTGTGTGTGCCCCTGCATCAGCAAAAGAAAGTACAATTCAGAAAACAATTTGGAACGAAAATGATGATCTGTGCACTTTACAAGTTCGTAATTTAATCTTCCAAACCCTATTAAGCCAAAAAATAAACTTCAACACACACAAGAGACTGTACCATCTAATCAGTAATTTCTCTGTATACATCAGAATGAAGCTTGTAAATTGGTTCTGTTGTAATGAGCCTAAAACTGGTAGAAGTACTAATCTGCAGCTTTGGTGTTTTTTTTCTTTTACTGTAATTGTGAATGGCTGACATGTAGGGCACAACCCTTAATCAGCTCAAAGCTGGTAGATTCATGATTGCTAATTGGCTCTACTAGACTGCCACTGACTTGCATGACTGCTGGATGTTGGAGTAAAAGATGGTCACCCTGTCCCAAGGTCAGAATGAGCGCATGTTCCAGGCACTCAGAATAGTAGTCGGGATGTGGCGTACAGTGCTATAGGTCGCGAAATGGAAGGCTAAGACAGCCAATAGGATTAGTTTGGCAGGACCAAGGTGACTTTCTCCTTTATCTGTCACACAGGCTCCTTGTTTTCCCAACACGACTCCTTCTTCAGCTGTTTCACAAAGAGCTAGAGTGGCTGTTCTGTTAGGGGGCAAATCCTGTGCTTTACTAATTGAGGGGTTTCAGCACTGACATTGCAGGAGCAGGCAGTAACACTCGCCTTGATTCTTCTGATGTGCTGCCCAGCTGGAGCCGGCAAAATGCTTGACGCGCTTAATCCTTCTTTCTGCTAATAGCACTGTGTTGCAAAATGTGAATTTTAATTAAGACATCTGATTATTTTCCATCCTGGGTTTACTTAGGGATATTTGTTTCACCAAAGTATTTCTGGCAGCTCGAAATGTGTTTGTATTGGCTACTGCTGATCTACCTGTATGCGTCCGTCAATACATGTAGTGCAGCATTCTATCATTTTCGGCAAAAGACAAAGAATGTCAACTTGATTCTGTCTGTAAAAACCTCATCTCAGATATGCTTTAAGAGGCCGTATATTATTTATCTAGAGGCCTCTGATGCGCTTCCCTCACACTCTGTGTTCTCAGTACATACATTACCTACCTACATTTTGTCTTTGCTACATCCCTAATAAACCTGCTTTCTTTTAGTGTTCATTACACTTGGCTTCAGAACAATCGGTGAGGTACTGATTCAGAATTTAAGACGTTCTCGAAACAAGAGAAGCACCATGAAACTCCAGGCCACAGAATGTTCTGTGTTCGGTATCTAGTGAAGGTCTAGTCACAGTAGGGGGTTGTCTGTATTGTCTTGTTCCTGTGCATTGTTTTAGAAGCTGGCTGGTCATTGCAAGTGGTGTGGCAGTGGTTAATTATTCAAGGTACATCTGCCTTCTTCGAGAGGGTCTTTTATCTACCTGCGCAAGAAGTCAGAATGAAGAAAGACTGTGCTTACATAGAAAATTATGCTCTAAATCACACAGCTCACACTACACAACCATTTTAAAGATACAGAGCTGCAAACCTGTTATTAAAGGATGTGATGTGAAATGCAAGATTAATTTATAATTATAAGTGTTTTTTAAAGCTCCCACCAAAAGTGGAAAGTCTTTTTCTTTTCAGGTCTGCTAAAACCATATATGAACACAAATCCATTGAAATGTGCTGCTGTTAATAGATTTAATACTCTGTCATTTTGTTTGATTTTTTTTACTGAAGGACAAAGAAAGGTGAGATTCTCGTTTTCTCCAAGACCTTTAATACAAAAGTGAAATCGGCGGTGTACATAAACACAAACGTTGTTGTATTTCATTTTGGAAGCAGAATTGACAACATATTTCCTGCAGGGTGTCAGTCCAGTAGGTTTTATGCTCCTTTTTTGAATCTTCTTCCATCCCCAAAACCTATATGATGCTCATTTTGTAAACCTGGTAAGGCTTAATAGTTTCAGCTTGCACTTAAGACCCTGAGGTAAAACTTCCTACCGCTGTTTCAGAACCTGTAGGGGTTATGTTTCAAGACCGCTGTAACAAAGTGCTCTGAGCCGCTGTTTGACTTGTGTCATTTCCTTTGACAACGGCAGGGGTCCACAGGTGCAGGCAACGAAGGCAGCAGCTGGCACGAAGAAATACGAGCTGAGCAAGTGGAAGTATGCAGAGCTCCGGGATGCTATCAACACCTCCTGCGGTAAGAGCTGCACTCAGGAGTGCGTCTGTGCGCACCCTTGAAAATGAGTCATTTCAAATGCGCCATTCAGGGGATGAAACTTCTGTTATCACTTCTAAATCACTTTCCCCTTGACTCGGTGCTGGGGTTATTGCTCCAGCCATATTAGAAAACTCTGGTTGTGGTTAAGAGATGGTGTTGTTAAAAATGCAACATCAGTTTAAAAGCTGTGGTCCAGTAATATTTTCTTATTTTTGTTTTTTCTTATTAATGTTGAAATAATTTAATAACACGGTTCCCTGTCGACAGTGGGAACTATTTTTTTTTCACGTTAATAAACCAATGCCAATGAGATATAAGGGGGAGAGTTGTGAAGGCTCCTACCTGTCCGACTCCAGAAGCAAGATTTTCAGGTCGCTATTTTAAAGATGTTCGCTCTGTAGTGTTCCTTGTCAGAGTTCATCATGCTCATGAGGAAGAGCAGCACTGCAGGAAACAGCAACAAGTATTTAGGGCAGAAAATGGCCATACTAGGGTAAATGAAGGATGCCAAGTATATTGAAAGGGAGGGCTTCCAGCAAATAACATCCCAGCATGCTTAGGATCGTAAGTAAAACTGCTGGTCCTGCCAGGTTGTTTTAATACAACCTAAACAAATACAATAAAATACAATAAAAAAGAAGAAAGAAAACGCAACGTTTCGGCTGTGGAGCCTTCTTCGGGTGACACCTGAACAAGGCTCCACGGCCGAAACGTTGTTTCCTTTCTTCTGTTTTTCAGCATGGGATAAACCTATTACTTGTTCCTTTATAACTATGGATAGTGTGGCTGCAATAGGAGAGCTCAGTGATTTTGAAAGACAGGTTATTGTAGGGGCATGCTTGACAGAAGCTTCAGTGACCAAGACGGTGGTCACTGTCTGGTGGAATGGATGGTCTCAAACCCATAGGAGGCACAGTCCATGCTAAGCACTACTTCATGGTGCTGAGAGATCATCTTTACCCCAGGATGACACTCCCCCCCCCCATCCACAGAGCACATGTGGTCAGCCAGTGGTTTGATGAGCCTCACACTGATGTTTTCCAAATGCCCTGACCTTCTTGGTCTCCAGCCCTGAACCTAATGGATCATTTATGCGATATGCTGGAATGACGGCGATGTTTCCAACGCCTGTCTCCCAGACGTGAGCTGATTGACCTTCTCATCATCTCACTCCTGGACATGGGAGAGGGGTGCTGCCTCTCTCCTGTAGACTCTATGCCACAGCCAATACAGGCTGTACTGGCCTCACGTAGTGGCACAACACCCTATTAAATGAATTATATTAGAAAAAAAACTAAAATAAGGTTATAAGGTTCAAATGTTAAGGACGCAATGTTCATTATGCCTAAAGACATTAACCTCTAATGGGGAGTAGAGTGAAACGTTTACAGTAAATGACGTAGGACTGTTTTTTTTATAGATTTATTCTACTCCCATATGTAAAATTTGGTTCAGTTAAAAATCAGATTACGATGGAATGAACTGAAAGGGCCAATGGGTGAGTGGTCCTGCTGTGAATATTCAAAACGTCTCTAGAAAATCCTAATAAGATGGAAGATCATTTTTATTAGCTTGCTTTTCTTAGCATTTTGATACTGTATTTCCAGTGAATAATATGAAGAATAAGAAACATTTAATGGTATCATCAATATAAGTCTTAAATGGAGAAAATTATCTGTTCATGTACCTTTTGAGCTGTGTCATAAAACTGAAGATTTGTTTTGTTTTTTAAATAAAATGAAAGGTGTTTTTATCCTACTTGAAACAAAGTTGTTTAACTTTACATGGCTTGATATCAGACCTTCTACAAAAAGTGTTCCTGACATTGTGTGGTGTTTTTCTCTCAGTAAAAATCATTCTCACTAATGTGTATCCCCAGAGTTTTTATGTCCTGTGTCTTAATTTATCACTCTTTAAGCCTTTTGTCTTTCTCCTTTGCAGATATTGAGCTGTTAGCAGCATGCAGAGAGGAGTTTCACCGCAGACTGAAGGTATATCATGCTTGGAAGTCCAAGAACAAGAAACGAAACACTGAAACTGAACAGAGGGCTCCTAAATCTGTCACCGACTATGGTAAGGCACTTGAGAGCTCTTGAGAGGTAGTGCACGTTTGTTTATTTCAAGGCATCACAGTATATTTAGTATGTCCTAGGTAAACAGATGGAAAGACATAGGTCAAGCAACAGAGGAGCATGTTAGGTCTGCAACCCTTTCTGTTAAAAAAAATTAATTGATTTTGCAATTGCAAGGTGCGCTTGAAGGTTTTGGAAAAAAGCAGTGAGAAAGGATCAGAAGTCGTGTGGCACAGAGTCATTTATGAGCTTATGAAAAGCTCTGCTCCCAACCCTAGTGTTTCTCTGACACCGCAGGCTCACCTATTAAACGATTGTCCTGTTTACCGTTCCTGCTATACCTCGCATTTCAGTTTTACTTCTGTGAGGTCCAGTGACATTCCTGAAGCTGAACGGAGGGCCTCTTCAATCTGTAGATCTTTTGTTCTTTTAGAAGTCGATACAGTAGATATGCCTGGAAATGAAAGTTTCTGAATACAGATATGTCTGTCTTTTTTGAGCCAGCTCTTATGGGCTATAATGTTAACAAGTATCACCTGCTACAAAGAAAAGAAACTGCCCCGAGCTATCAGTTCCCACAAAGCAGTAAAGAAGGGCTAGCTCACGCAGGCACAGAGTCGGGAGTGCAATGAGGAAGATGTATTCTGTTTGATATTACAGTACATAGCCCCTCCTTTTTGCCAAATTTACTACTGCTGGTTGGGGAAAAGGACTTTTCTTTAATCAAGACACAAAACTGAAAAATTCCTTACAATCATTTAGAATTAAAAATTGAAAATTGGCAATCAGAGATTAAATTGAAGCATACAAATAAAGACTTGCACTCCATAATGACAAATCAGTGTTTTAATTATCTACAAGTTTTACAAAACAAAACTCCAAGCGGCTAGTTTATTCACTTTCTTTCTGTAGTACGGATTTACCTATTCGGTGTATCGGAAAAAGAGAAGATTCCGTGTATCTCTATCAGATTTTGTGGAATAAAAATATTAATCTGAGCATATCTGAGCTGTTTTAATCGCATACTGTACGTGGGAACCAACATGTTCCATGCCCCAGGTGGGCACAAAAACTCTGCTTCTGAAAACTAATTTAAAATTAAAATTCCCACAGTGAAATATCTGATATGGTGTCCACTGGATAGCTATTGACTAGGCTAAAGTTTTCTTTGATTTTTTTTTTCCCTTTAATGTGAGAGCTTTAAAGTTTCAACAATTTGCTGGCAATGTGAAATAATATCGGAATGATTTTCATGGTCTGTCTCCTGCTGTCTCATAGGAGTTTTAAGACAAGCACCATAGTTTGTTAAATACCGTTGCTCGATATTAAGCAGAAATGTTGACGCTTGCTTTACTGTAGGATTTTGATAAAAGAAAACAAGGGACATTGAATGTCTCTTTCCCACTGACAGTTTTCATAAATGTAATAAATAATGCTGTGTTTTATTGCATGTTGATTGCACCAGGACAATGTACAGAAGTTGTATGAACAATTGAAATTGTAATGCGGAATGTTTATTTGCAGATCATCCACCATTAATGAAAAACACATGTAAGTGAGAATCGATAATGTAACAATGCTAACACTTGTGGCGGTCCTAAAACCTTTTTTTTCTAACCCCGGGAGAAAGTGGATTAAAGTGCTTTGCTGCAGTTGTCATATTTCCTATTTGAAATAATTTAACCAGCTATTAAATGGGGTTTAGGAACTGGTCATTTTGATTCAGTTATAATAGATTAGCCTTACTGCAGCAAATTACTGTAGATTTGTAGACTGGTAAGAGCTTTTATTGGTTTCTGTTTGGGGCCCCCTGTCCTGTAGGATTTAAACTGTACTTTTCCGTAGGTGTTGTCCTTTTTAATTGAACACGCACAGGATGTGAAAATTAGCCCTTTATGTTCTTGAAAATGTTGAGTCAAAAAGGAAAAAGAGTTCATGTTCTTTTTTTTTTAACAAGGCCTGTTCAAAACTATATATTAATACTAATAGGATTCTAGACCGATTTGCACCAAAAGCGTGGTGATAACACTGACCATAACTAAATCTAGTCCTTCATAGTCCATTTATTTATTCAAATTTGATTACATTTATGTGACTTTTGTAATGTAGCATTTAAGAAAAGCCACCATTTTCAAATCAGACAATCCTGTCAAATGTTTTAGCTTGGGATGATTTAGTTTTAGCTTTTACGTATGTACAGTATGTGCTGTCCTAACACATAAAAAGAGTAACATGTATGAAGTAAAGACAATAAATGACTGTAAGCAAAATATAGCCATTTATATTTTTTAAATCCAAAATAGAAAGTGATTTTAACTTTATCTAATTTCCTTAAAAACAAGATTTTTTTTTTGTTTTTAAAGCACACAGTTGTTTTAACCAAAAGTTGTACGTCTGTTATAAATTTAAGCAGTGAAGAATATTTTTTTTAACTAATAAGAACTGTTTATGTAAATGCCCTTTTGTGTAATTCAAAGTTACTCATGTGTGCTTTGCTGGCAAATACAATGTGGTCGATGGTAAATCAGAGCTTCGCTGTCTTTATTGCCTGTGCTTTACTTAAGGGTCCTCAGCTTCCCTCCCATTGCTGACTGGTTTGTTTTTTTGCTGGTGTGTGAAGGGGACTTTTGCATGCGTGCTCAAGGACCTGAGCAGTCTCCACTTACGGCCGGCTGTGATCAGGGTGGAAGGATGCTTTTTTTTTCCCCAAAAGACTTTCCCAAGCTTTCCTTGGTGTTCCTTGGATCAGGAAATTTCCTCCTGAGTTTGGAAGCTTTCATCCAACTAATGTTGTAATCTTCTGGCTCAATGTATTTAATAATAATAATAATAATAATAATAATAATAATAAAGCACCTATTTGCATCAAGTTAAATGCCTTTACTTCAGCTAATACAGATGTAGAGTCAGCACGTTATTTGGGGAAACAGATATGTTGACTCTCAATTTTAAGTTGTTTTAAATTTCAATGTTTCGAAGTGCACAAAGCTTCCATTCTTCGCCTTTCCCCATTTCAGTTTTAAAAAGAAGGAAACGGTGTGGCTTTGTGGGACGGCTTCCCCTGCGGGGTCGGTAAAACGCATGCGACGGAGACACTGACCCCAGACATCTCGTTTCGTTCGCTTCAGCCCAGCAAAACCCGGCTCCTCCGCTGCCGGCTCGGCACCAGGAGATCGCCATGAACCGGCAGCAGCGCTACTTCCGCATCCCTTTCATCCGCCCGGCCGACCAGTACAAAGACCCCCAGAACAAGAAGAAAGGCTGGTGGTACGCCCACTTCGACGGGCCGTGGATCGCCCGCCAGATGGAGCTGCATCCAGACAAGCAGCCAATACTGCTTGTGGCAGGTGGGCTTTCAGAACAGCCTGGTTTCCTTTTCCCTGCGAGGGCTGTCCACTGCCTCTTCCCTGTTTACAGTATAGCACACCAGGAAGCTACTGTATGTGTTGTTCCTCCACCACACATTAGGTGCTGTAAGAAACGCTCTGAAAAGGTTATAAGAGGTGGGTGGGGTGCTCATCATTGGCAGACATAGCCCACGGTAAGGGATTTCTGAGGGTTTCCTTTCTTTATGCCATTAACTGGTTTACATACTTCAGATTACACCCCGAGTGCCTGTGTTCAAGACGGCCGAGGCCCATCTCAAGGAGAGTGTGAGCAGCTGGCTTTCCCGTGTCTCAGTACAGCTCTCAAGCTGTTGTAGTGGAACCACTATAGTGAAACTTCTCAAAAGAAAAACAGGGAATTGACATAAATGGGTAATAATGATAAAATACCTCCTATTAATGGGGGAGAAATCTGACATACAGTAAGTACAGTTGATTGCTTTAAAGGTAAAGCTTGTCTGCCCCAGACCATCATTTAGTGGCTTTCAAGAAAAAAGAAACGGTGCCAGACCACCTGTGCCATAGCCATCCGCTCTTTCCCTTCCCTCCCAACATTTAGAAAAGGTTGGTCTCTGAGTGCACAAAACTTAAATGCCTTGTCCTCACAAGGCAGTGTCTTGAAAGATTCATGTTAAGATTTTCAGCGGGCACTGAACATATTTATATCAATATATAAATCATATCATACATTTATATCATATTACCTTGCAGAAAGAGTCCTGTTGGGGCTTGACGTTCAGCGTCGGTTAAGCACACTAGATGATCTATGCCTTACTTTCCAAAATGAGAGCACATTAAGCACAAGGGCACAGGGGATGGATGGCAACTTTTGAAGATTGAAGAAGTGATGTGAAAAAATGCTGATCATGATCTGTGAAAACCTGTAAACCTGGGAGGATTGCAACAGAGAACAGAGGATGAATTTATTTTAATATAGATTTCTCTATTGAAAGTGTGTTACCAGGCGTAATGTGTTCTGTTGTGACACAGCGGAGAATTTCTGTAACAGAACTTCGAACAACTTGTTAACGTGAAGTTCTTCGTTCTGAATGTGGTCGCGCACTTGAGTAGTGGTATGGTCTTTCTGTTCTCTCTAGGGAAGGATGACATGGAGATGTGCGAGCTGAGTCTGGAAGAGACCGGACTCACCAGGAAACGGGGCGCAGAGATTTTGCCAAGGCAGTTTGAAGAGATCTGGGAGAGATGTGGAGGTATCCAGTACCTCAGGAGTGCAATAGAGAGCAAGCAGGCGAGACCAACATACGCTACAGCTATGCTACAGAACCTCCTCAAGTAAAAACCCAGATCCACGGATAGCAGGAGGCGGAATAGAATACACTTGAGGGGAATCAAAGGGAAGATTGCACTCCTTATTAAAGAGGGCCTTTAAGCATTGGTTACCTGACTGGGGGGCATCCTGATTTTTAGCAAAGATTTTTGTTCTTTTTTTTTTTTTGCTGTTTACCTTTATTTCTTCCTTGTTTTTGATTTTTTCCCCTTATTGTGGTGAACGTATGCAGAAAAGAAACCCAGCTAGCTAGACCAAGCTATGTACTCCATTTTATACAAAGCTGAGCTGCGCTTTGATCTCCTGACATCTTTAACTGAGGCCTTAACGATGACTTCTTCGCAGATTGTTAGAAATAGGAAAGGTTTGACAGCTGTTCCTCCCATAATGTTTTTGGCATTAAATTATAGATATCAAGGTTGATTTGTGTTGTCAGAACTGTTAGCTGCTTTCAATTTGTTAATACAAATGTCGGATTTAAACATTTATCACTGCAAGGACTTTTAAAATTAATACCTCATATTGTACCTCTTCATAGCTATGCAGGAAGATTTAGGGTCGTCGTGTTTTTTGTGACTGGTTACCGACTGAACTTACAATGTGCTGAGAATATGGTGAATATTGTTTTTCTTATTGCTGCCTAAAACATGCAGAAAGCAAGGATTCAGTGACATGGCCTTAAATGAACTAGGAATTGGCCTAGAGAGAGCTTGCATTTGAAAAAGCATTTCTCGTTACATGAGGTACACAGTATCTGGTTGGGAATCATTAAGTTGGTACGCAAGAAATGAGTGTTCCGTTATTTGCATGGCAAGACAGAGCAGTCTAATTTTCACTCCATTGTTGGAAATTGCACATCTTTTGGGGGAAAAAATAAGTTAGACTAACTTTTTTGGAAAACAAATGTCAATTTATTCTAATTGTCACCCATTTTATTGAAATTACATACTTTAGTCTATTTCCCTTAAATTTACAATTTTTTCAGAGCTGATTTAATTATTGTATGGAAATGAAATGTAGAAAATTAAAATGGTGCCCAAAACTCTTCTGGTTATTGTAGTGATTATCTTCAATTCCATTAGGCTGCTATAAGTCTTTTTCTAATGTCTTGTAGGATCTAGTTGGTACCATTAGCTTTATATACTGGAAAATATGCATTGCTCTCTACCTTCAAAATTGAACTTTTTCAACACTCGTTTTTTAAACATATACTGTATGTAATTTTTAAACATAAATGTTTAAAAATTATGAAATGTTATAAAATAAATTAAAATGGATACAGATGCTCAAAATTGTGATTTTTCAAATACATTTGAACACATTGATTTTTAGGCTCATGGGATTTATTGAACATGAGTAAAATTTTATTTACCAAGTCATTTGCAAGTGTGGTGCTTGGTAGATAAATGACATCACTGAGCTCATATGCACATAGTGAGCCACCTAAGTATTTTTTTCTTCAACTCATGTGTTTAGGGGTTATTATATAGATAGTGTATTTTACATATGCTGAGCGAATGTAATATTTCAATATCTGTTTCTAGAACTATTTTACTAAGCTATTATACGATTCAATCTATTTAATCATTTAATCATAAACCACGAAATCCCAATTTGACCTGCTTATTAACTACTGTATAACATTTATTTAAAAAAAATCAAGGAGCAATATTTTACCTACAGTTAACATTTGAAAGAGGAAAAGATAAATGGGCATAGTAAATAATAGGTTTGCAAACATTTGTATCAGACAATCTCATACACCAGACAGGAAGATATGTCCACATGCAAGCTTGCTTTGGTTTCACTGTTTGTTGTTAGCAGTTGAGTTTCCTTGCTTAGCACAAGAACTGTTTGGTTGTATAAAACCATTTGGTTCATCTTTTTTTTTGTTTTGTGCTACAGACATCTCTCACTTCAGATTTAATTATTTATTTACTGTATGATTTACAATATGAGAGTGATTACTACTGTCAGTCTTCATGACATTCTTTAATGTATAGTAAATTAATGGCATTGATGTGTTCTGTATCAGTTCATGTACTGCAATCATTCCTTTTCAAAATTCTGCATTTTCACCTTTTTTAATGCTGATTTCTAACTGATGTACCTATGCAATACAAAAAATAAATGCATTCCATGTTTAAACCTATTGCTTTCTTCATTGTTGTTTAAAGAATAGTGATAATTACTCCTGCTTTCATTTAAACGTAGGGATTGAATAGGGTACATTTAATGGTAGCACAAATCAAGATAACTTTGTGAAAATAAACTTTGTTGGAGTGTTTTAGGGTACTAAAATGGTACTAAAATGGTCATTTTCACACAAAGTAGATTTCTTTAATGAAAATAAACCATAAATCATGTATTTTTTTTAATCTCTCAGTGCTTAAAAGGAAAGTTTTTAAGTTTTGTGGGGATAAGTTCATTAGATCTGACTATTTCTTGCCAGATGAATATATAAACTCATTTTACTAGCAAAGTAGAGCTGCTGTCTGCTAATGGGCCATTAGAAGGGTACAGCAGCTATCCATGACAGCTTATTTTGACTTTGTGTACACAAAGCAGGAACAGGAGTCTCTTCAGGTGGTTCTGCAAAGTGGTCAGATCTAATTAATATTCATATATCCCATGTTCCATTGCAACTCCTACTTACTCCTCAGGAACACCAAAACCTTGGAAGATAAATGCTTTGTACTTCCTTGCAAGTGTTGTGTAATTTGTTAAAGTGATACTTTTGGCAGCTTAAAGGTGGTTATACCTCCTGTAACCTTCTGGTATGTCAGAGCACAGGGTTGCATAAGAGCTTTGAACTCCAGCTCTGAAAGCTCTCCAAAGAATTGGGGGGAGTACCCCGAAAACCTCAGCAAGCCTGGCAAATGTACAGTAAGTAATTTACAAATACGTACTGCAGTTAAATGTTTTGACTTACAGCAAATGTACCAGTATGATACAAAAACTACACCTTAGTGCATTTTGAGGGTATGGTGATACAATTGAATTTATTCTAGGAGTTCTGAATATTACTTTACTATTATTAAATGCATATATCTTCTGGTAACTAAAGTGCCCCTGCTTTTGTGTGCTCAGGGCTCACATTGTATGCCGGAACATATACCGGTTAAAAATCCCTGATCCTTCTGTCATTTTGACTTGAACCAATAAATTCATACCACAGTAAGTGAATATTGCAGACAACTTTCATATATGACAATGTCCTTTGTCTGGAGCAGAACTTCAGATCATAGCCTCCCCTCGTGTGCAACTTTTCTGGCATTCTTCTGAGCAGATTTGAAATGCTACACTTATAATTACTATCAAATTTACAGAGGAAAAGAATGGCTTGGCAAAAAAAGATTTTGGGACATTTTTAAGATGGTCATGTTGGTCATCTTTAGAAAAATAGATTGGAAACATGAATCTGCTTAAGTATTTCAGTATTTTAATCCATCAGACTGTTTCATGTGATAAGAGACAGAGAGCATAGAATGTTATTTAAAAGATATACGACCCCTAAACACATTTTTTTAAATTTAGTGCAGCATTGGATACTTGTTTGTGCAAACCTCAATAAATGGCATCCTGGGGCATTCTAATAAATTTGCACACTACTATAAACAGCTTCAGATACTGCCATGATTAAGTTTTTAGACAACCGAATCCTATATAATGACTTGGAACCTCAAAGCATCACAGTACATAATGACTTGCAGACTCAGAGTGTCACACTTTTTAATCATGTGGAAAGAACAGAATATTACACTCTGTAGCTGACATTGTTAGCGTGTCTTCTTCAGGTAGTTATCAACACAGCTGCGTTGGTCACAAAAAATAAAGGTCCTTCATTTCCTCTATAGGGTGTTTCACCTTTTGAGTGGATGAGCACTACAGAAGGACACATTTAGTTCAATTACAGCATGGTAGTGCTAAATGTTATCCTGTTAATTCAGTTAACTGCTTATCAGCAAGTGTCACTGCTATTGACCACTGCTATTATGTCAAATATATTTTATAAACTTTTTTTTATTTTGATTTTTCTTTATACATTACTTGATCAGCTGTCAAGTATTTTAAACTTCAAGAAAAGGACATTCTTGCAACACCCTGCAGCTCACAACTGGAGCTCAAGAGGTGTGAGCCTGGTCAGTACCTGGATGGAAGACCTCCTGGGAAAAACTAAGGCTGTGCTGGAAGAGGTGTTAGTGGGGCCAGTAGGGGGCGCTCACCCTGCGGTCTGTGTGGATGCTCATGCGCACAGTATTGGGATGGGGACACTATACTGTATAAAAGGTGCTGTCCTTTGGATGAGACATAAAACTGAGGTCCTAACTCTCCATTGTCGTTAAAAATCCTAAGGTGTTTCTTGAAAAGAGTAAGAATATGGACACCCCAGTGTCCTGGCCAAATTTCTTCCAGGAAGTGTCCAGAAAATATTATTCTATCTAGAAACAGCTGTGGTGTTCTTAAAGTAGCACACAAAAGAGAAAATGTCAAATTAAAATTAGTGAAGGATGCTACAAAACATTCATAGTCTATTTAAATAAATAGCCAGTTCTTCAATCAATAACGGTTCTTTCATATTTCAGGTATTGCAATTGTGTGTTTTGTAGATTTTTGTCATAAAAGAAATAATAAAATAATACGTTGTATATTCTAAAAAACATATTTTATATTCTAAAAGCTGATGTTCTTGATGTAGTAAACCATTGAATACAGGTTTGATTTTGAGGTTTAGTTTTTGATCAAATTCATTATAGCAGTGAAGTTCACCCATCCATCCATTTTGCATTTGCCTTGGTGGGGAATCGTGGGTCACATACGCATTAATTTGGGATCACCATTCCGTTAATTTAACAAAATAAAATATGTACAGTAACACCTCTTGTATCTGTAAACAGGTTTGTATACATGAGAAACCATAGTATTTCTGAGTATTTACAGTATAAGCAAAAGGATTCCCGATCTTGAAGATTTTTTTCACTTGTCTACATCAACTCGCAACTTTGCCTTTCGGGTGAAAGACAAATCTGTCAACACGGGTTTTGAAAAGCATCTGGTGAAAACAGGTAAGTCTTTAAGAGAGACAGAATTCTGTGGCTGTGGCTGGAGAGCCATGGTGTCTGATAACAAGGTGGTTGAAGAAGAATACGTTTTTCTTTTTTGTTTTGAATTTAATTTGGTCCATGCTTATCAAATTAAAAACATACAAATGACTACAAGTGTGAGTGATGGTACTGTATGTTGCATTATAGATTTCGTACATATTGTTCTGGTTGTGTATTTATTTGCTTCAAATCTCTGTGGCGAGTAGGGCAAATAAGAGGCATTCTTGTCATTCTAGTCTTTTCATTGGAAAGATGAGCACATTGTACTATAGTACATGTCAAATTATATTCTAGGGAAAATGTAAAGCTATAGTTGCTGCTATTATTTAGATTAATTTATACAGTATTTATCACAGATATTTACAGTATATACAATGTGCATTCTTCTCTGCCTACATACATCTTTAATTAGAGAAAGTAAATTACACAGATTCCAACAAAGCTTATCTGGAATGCTGCTTCTACCCATTCATCCAATTTCTACCGCTTTGTCCAACACAGGGTCATGGGAAAGAGAGTCAAGGAATCACACCAGGACCAACTTTCCCAGAGGCTAATTAATCTACCAGTGTGTCTGTTGACTGTGGGAGGAAACCAGAGTGCCCAGAGGAAATCCACATGAACACAAGGAGAACGTACAGTATGAACTCCATGCTGCGAGGTAGCAAAGCTAACCACTATGCCACCCCGGTTGTTTCTGTATATGGACCAATACTTCCTTCTGTACTGCAATTAAGAGGAATGATCTGTGAGAATGTGGCCCAGGGAGGAAATCTCATTGACTCTTATTAATCCTGACAACACCTGAAAGCCAGTATGCATTAGGGTAAACTGGTTTAACGTCATTAACTATAATTTCATCCAGGACTTCCTTTTTCAATTAGGGATAAAAAAGACTATAAAGTTATTTTATAAAGTTCAACATTTTTGTTGATTATAGAAAGCGGCTGTGCCTGTGATCACCTCAATTCCAGTGTTCAATCATGCAGCAAGCTCATGCATAAATACTGTATGTATAAATCATTTGATGTTGAAAGGATGGGCAAAATTTGATGTGCCATTTGGCACATACAGTATATAAACGTAAGATGTGAAAGACCAGTCAAACAGAGCGGCTCCAGGGATCTGAACACATGAAAACTCATAATTATAAAACTGGACAGTGCAGTGCAGGAGGCTTCATTTCAGAGATTATATAGTTTATTACAAAACAGACTCTGTAGCAGTCTCCTAAAACTACTGACATAATCCTAACTTCACTAACACAGTGAAGGCCCTTTTATTAGTGGAATATTTACTCAAATATTCCTCTATTAAATGGCATGTTTGAATGTGTAATTAACCACCTCCAATAATCTAATTCAATAAGTGATTAGTTCCCAGTGTGTCTATTTACAAGTGATCATGGCCTTTGACAGTCTGTAGTAGCAAGTCAACTGCTTTGACAATCCTTTCCCAGACTCTTTTGCCCCACAAGTTTCCCATTATTTGTCTATTTTGTAAAAAAAAATTTGTGCAGAGGTAACATTTTCTAAAACCGTTGTAATTTACTAGATCTACAGGCCAGTTTCAAAAACTTTCTGCTGCTAATAGTAACATAACAGGTGACAGGTGAAAGTTAAACTGTATCTTAAATGAAAACCTGTAAACTTTCTTGCTGTGTACAGTGTATTGCTTTAACAACAACAACAACAACAATAACAACAGTCAACAACAGTCAACAACTGCAGCAAATGAAAATTTCAACCTACACACAAATATTCGCTACTGAATTCTTCATTTCCAGGAACTGAAATGTCACATGGCCCTACAGGCCTATGACAGTCAGATGGTGCACCATGCTGGGGTTAAACATGTGGACAGTCTCTGTAGAGGCCGTGCAGTGGAGCTAAGTGAAGTCCTTGTGAGTGGATGCAGTGAGGGTGTTGCCTGCCCAGTGCTGGAGAATTTTTCTGAGAGGGGTTACCGGGTTCCAGACCCACTTTCAGAATGTGATACTTACTGTACTTCTCCATGAATGGCCTTCCCCCCCCCGCGTGTGTCGCCAAGGCTTTGGCTGTCCCACTGGGATCAGGAAGTGAAAGGATTTGGCTCTGGGTTCCAAGGACTTAGTAGCTGTTACTGTAGAGATTAGTTTTGAAGGGAGCTTTTTCCCTTGGCCTCTGTGAACATTAAGAAGATCTACTGTACATACTGGAGGCAGCACGGAATTGTGCAATGGCAGAGCAACATTCCTCTGCCTTGTATTTCTTCTGAACCTACGCAGGCAATTGAAAGTCCTACAGTATATTTTAAATTACCAAAAGATCACATCGCAGAAAGAAACCTGTAGGAATTCAAAATGACAGCATATATATGAGAATGGACTGAGAACTAGTTATTGAACAGGAGACAGGGTGGCAACAGAAGAAGTAAAAATAATTGGGATGAGGCAGTTAATGAAGGACTATAGGAACCAGAACAGGAGAGCAAGGTTGAAACCAAGGAAGTGCATTTAGAACTAAAATCATTTCAAAGGGTTGTGGGGATCTGTGACAACCTATACAGTCATTTTATATATTCCCTGGAATTATTTAGGAAATGCCTAGACAAGACAATTGGTTAAGTTAATATCAACCAAAACAGCCAGATACGCTAAATGGCCTCCTCTCATTTGCACCTATTCTTACGTTGTTATTGTCTTAAATGTTACAAATTACAAACAGGCATTGGACTGGTAATCCATCCTGGCCACAGTATATCCCTGCTTGCCAGGACAGGCTCCTGCTCCCCTGCGACTCTGTACTGGACACAATGGTTGGATATAATTTTAATGATGAGGACCTGAAAATCAAATGTCCGAAAAAAATGAATAAGATGAGCTACTGAGCAGGCTCATTTTTCGTGTACAGGCTTTCGAATGGCGGCAGGACGTGCTTGTTTCAGTTGCTTCAAATGAGCTCTGTAATGATGGAAGAACAGTTTTGGGAGGCTGTTCTTACCATTTGTTATAACAAAGCATCGGTCTTTGGTCAAGGTATGTGGGATGAGCAGCTGCAACCCTTAAGAGCCAAACATGTGAGAAGTGCAAGCTCCTACACAGTGGAGAATTCCCCTACTCCAAAAGGCCAGCCCTCCCAGCTGGGGAGAGCTCAATATTCGGTATTTCTTGGAAATGACCTCGCCTTCTGTAACATGCTCAGTGCTAAATTCAAGTTCTCCCCCTCCAGACTGCTACATCCCCTCTGCAGTATGGTCGGTGACCGAGAGTTATCATTCTCTGAAGCTCAAGTCATGGTCCAAACATGAAAAGTGAATGTTCTGCCAAACCAGGATTTAATTACAGCTGCTCCACACCACAAGGGGCAATTCAGCACTACTAAAGACAAAAGAAACAGTTATAAATCACATTCATACTGTGCATTGTGTTTTTTAGTAGTAAAAAATACTACTTACAGTACCTAGCTAGACATCATTAATTATACATACAGTAAGTGCAGTACAGTGCACTTAATTTGCTTGTAGTGTAATTACACATACAATCACATTTTTCATTTTAGTAACTCCTTTAGGGATAAAGTCTAAACCACCAATATTTTTTAAAGAAAAGTAAGAGCGCATACAATACAATAGCGAACAACGCACAAAGCCGGACGCAGTGAACTCTGTCACACAAGCCTCTTCTGCCACTCTCAGACTGGTTAGCGCAATATGCTACAAACACTCGATATGAAACAAGGTTTATGACGCGCCTTCCTCTTCATTCGCTGCATTTGGCAGAAGTGTCTCAATTTTTCTTCTTATAACTTCTTCGTAGTTTCGAATTTGGCTTTCGTTTTTCGAAATGTAGATAAAAATTCATATGCTTCGTAGTGCTGAATTTTAATAAAAAGAACATTAGTAAAAGAGGTCAGGTATGACGTACCCACCCGTAGGACACCTGCTCTCAAGGACTGGAGAAGGCTGCCCCTGTCCTAGACACAGGCATTTAAAAGAAGAAAAAAATAAATTAATTTATAGAAACATGACAAAGAAAATTGTTTTGTAGGAAAATTTTAATTTCAATATAAAATCAATATCATGATCTGCATAATGTTTCACAAGATTTTGAAATTTGATAGTGTTGTTTAAATAGCCTTACTTGTAGCTCCATGATTACAAGAGACTATTGTCAGTATTCTCTTATTTACATCATTTCCGAAGCTGTGCTGTGCGTACTGTATATGCTGTAGTACACTTCATTTCTCCTCAACTACAGCTCAAAGATTCTTTTCCACAGGAATACTAATCATAAAATAATATGTAAATAACTACAAAAAAGAATCAAGACACACATTGCTAATACATTTAAGGGTTAACCATACAATACAGGATAAAGTCAAAATAAAGCATTAAACACTGGCTATAACATTACATTCAAATATTTTATATACGGGACACTGCAGAAAGAAGTAATACAATTAAAATATGACAGTCTTCTGGTTGTAATGTAGAATTTCTACTAATGATACAATGGTGTGTATAAAAAGTAAAGTAGATTTTAGTAAATTACCTCATTGTGAGGAAAATTGTATTAAACCTTTGACAAGGGTACATATCTATTTAAAAGTGTTCCTATTCTTTTCAACAAACTAACAACCCTTAACAGCAACATTCATAAGTATTCATGTATTCACCCTTCAGTACATATTAACCCAGATTTTACATGCCTGTGAATTACAACAAAGACATCACACATATTGGAAGCATGTCTTATGATCACTTAGTTGTCCAGCTCCATATTTGAAATACACTGTAATCGAGGTAAAAAGCATCTGCAATGTGTCACCAAAATATGCATGTGCAAAAGCAAAAAATAAAATAAATCGGAGAACTGAACGTACAAAAATAGAACAGATCTGAGATCAAGAAAAAACGAAATAGGTTGTTGTCTTGATTGCTGCTACAATGTTCAGTTGAGATTCCACTTCACAACACAGTTACTTCGTAGCATTCGCCATCTGATGCTCTCCCCAGTGGGCAACAGGAGGTCCCGTATTCACTTGACCTGGATAATTGCCACGTCTGAAATGGAGACAAGGTATGAAAACAACCGCTGTGAATCATTATTTATACTGTAAAAACAGGAGTTGGAGGTTTACCTGTTTTTGTATAATGATCTGTGGTGTAGAATTTAAACCGGAAAGTGAGAAAGAAAAAGAAAAATAACGCTCCAGGATTGAAGAATGGGGCAACTGTCTTTCCAAGTCAAAAGAACGCGAAGATTAAATGTTACTGATTCATGAATGTGGTACTGTGTGATCCATGGCTGATAAATAAAACTTGACTTTAAGGAACATGGTACAATACCAACTGATAAATCAATTCTATCAGGTATAAAATATATTCAGGAACAGGTGAAGAAACACTACATTTCAGTCGTACAAGCCTTCTTCATGTGTGAGGGAGACCAGGCCTGAATAAGGCTCCACATCTGAAATATAGTGTTTCTTTTCTGTACCTTTTAGAATCGAATTAACTTTTAATTGTTTCTTTGCATCCTATGATGCTGATGGAGCTACAGTACCTACTCAAATGTAACTTATTTTTAGACATGAGAAAGACTCATGATCTTATTGTAATTTAGAATCTTCTGAACTTGAATCTGTTAATGTGCGAATGGGGAAGGCAAAGAGTTTGATAATGACAGTGAAGAGCAGCAGTCAGTGACATCCTTACCTCACTCTGTGGCATGCAATGATGGAAATCCACCATTTCTGAAACTAACTTGTCTGGTCTGGTTGTATATAGGTACCTGGGTATCTAGAAAAAAAAACAAACAAAAAATGCAAAATCATCAGTACTTTCATGAACACATTTGCAAAACGTATCTTTCAAGTAATTTAAAAAAATCACTATACTGTACATTAATCCAAGGGATAAATCACATTGGGTGAAGCACGACAAGAGGTTTGCTGTAAAGAAGATACATTAGTCAGGATATCTATATGAGTTCCTTGTTAAAATGAAAGCCCATGCTTGTGTTCTGTGGTGCAGTACCCTCTGGAAAAACGTGTTTTAAACATAATTATATGGTGCCCTTATCAATGGAAGTTTAAAAAGTGAAATGGCTCCATACGTTTTTTAATCAATTTTATTGCAGCTTAAGCACCACATTGGTCTGGTTTCAATATCATAAAATATACAGTATACTGATAGTTGCGAATTTAGAATATGTGCAACAGAACAAACCTTAACTAATCTTGATTTTAAAAAACTGTACTGTTTCTATAATACCTGTATGTTTCATTCTGTAGCTTTCAAACTAAATGTGCCTTGTTATGAAGAATGTGTACCTGTTTGCCTGTTAGACTACATTAAATGCAGTAGCTGTGGGCTTTTTTGTATTTTGGCCTTTTGTGGGTGACAAATGTAAACTTTAAAGATCTTTGCAAGTATATTTCTGTTATCTGAAAATATCAGTTCAAGCAGTACACTAGACAGTGTTCATTTAAAAAAGACTGAGCTGTTTCAATAATATTATGTCGGTAAGTCTTAACCTTATAATGTTGCATAAAAAGCTCCTTTTATGTTTAATGTTTTATCAGTACTTTCCTGGATACTGTGTATACTAATACAAGAGAGAAAAGAAGATAATGTTCATGGGCTTTAAGTATTAGTGTCTGGTATTCAGTAAAACGGAACAGAAAAGCTGTTTCAGCTCAGGGTACGTAAAAGAAAAGAGGTGAAAAACAACAGGAGAAGTAAATGAATTCAAAAACACAGAATAAACGGTGTTAGTATTGCTCTGGTGATTGCTAAAGGGAAGGTAGTTGAGAGTAAAAAAAACATTTGCTCTGTGCTGTTTACCTCTATACTGAGGTGTATGTTTTCAATTGTTTCTAACGTTTCTTGCTCAGCAAGCTCGGAAGGACCAGCCGCGATACTTGAAGGGCAATGCAAGCTGGGAACACGTGTCAAGGGAGCATCCTCATTTTCAAAAACCGGATTTACTCTCACAGTGCTCTCAAATGTGTAAGGGCTGTGAGTGTGTCTATAATATAGAAGAGATGGGGAGTTTCTTTTGAATTTCCATGATCATCAAAAATAGTTGTAAAAAAATTCAAAGCAAATGAAGTTCACAAAAAAAAAACAGAAGACCTGCTTACACCAAAGTCACTGTCTTTCTGGTCCGTATACATTTTCTGTTAATCAAAATCAAGACACCTATTACGGCAAAAACAAAGGTCAGGCAACCCACAAGTGAAGCTATGAAAACGAAAGCGTCTACTGGCTGTGACACCAGCTCAGTGCAGCGTTCTCCATGATACTGCCAGTGTTTGCCCACAGGGCATCTAAAAAGGTTAAAAAGAAGGATTAGATCGACAGGTTGCGGACACAGTTCACTGTGACGCGTTCCTTTTTCATAGCGCGGCACACAAAACACAAATTAAAAGAACAATGTTTATGGTAAGCATTTCACAAAATAGGACGGGCGCATTGTTCATGTGAAGAAAAACAGTTTAACATCGAAAAAAACTTTTAAAACAGCAGCAGGTAAGTTCAGTGGGGAACCTTGGAAGCCTATTTAGTCGCAGGTACCTGCAAGCAGCTCCGTGCCCTGGAATAATTTCACACTGCCCTCCATTGAGACAGAAGTCTGGCTGTAGGCTACAGACACTCTGACAGGGCAGGCCATCCACACTGAGGTATCCGGGGGCACATACACACTCAGCTTCTTTGGTCCATCTGTTTACTATACACCTTGCAAACTCATTGCAGGCCAAAAACTTGCAAGGATCTGCCTGATCAGCTGAAATATGGAAACAAAGAATCATTAGTATTAATGAAATGCAGCTAGGCTCCTCAGGCTGTCTTTCAATTGATCCTTCTCATTTTTTTAACCTTCGATAACCCCCCAAAAAAGGATATTGAAGGGCATTTGATTTCTTTAAAAAGTCTTCTGTCCACGTCAAGATTGTATAAAATGTTTAATCCTATCTCGTCTTAGACATTGAACCAACATTTCTTTCCAGTCAAGAATATAACATTAAAAATAGGCGTCATTTCTGGATTTTTGATTATAAATCCACTCAGTATGACTGTTTTCTTCTATTGTTGTCCCTTTTAACAGCATTCAGGTATCCAGTACTTTCAGGGTACTCTCCTTCATAGTGATGTCCACATCACTCCAATGAGCAAAGATATCATTGCCACATCGCTTCGGATCTGTGACAGAGATGCATCATTGAATCAATCTAATTTTACTCTTTTGAGAAACAATATACTCTTCCAAAACTTTACATTCATTTAAGAAAAAAAAAATGGATTTTTTAATTGTAAATGTAATAGAGCATACTACTGTATGTTTAACTGCAGTAAAATACAGTACCTTCCTAATTAAAAATGGAATCATGCAACAAGTGTAATATACAAGAGGAGGAGCTTCTGTCACTAGGGTCATTTGAGATTAGTAACTGCTGTCACTGGTCTTTTGAAGCAATTTCACCATCAAAGTTTTAAACCGAAATCAAAATGTAAATAACAATTTCTCTTGTCTTGTGTAAACCATTAATTTCATGTCTGGCTGGACAAAACGAAAGTTTTCAGACTTTCAGGCATAGATTCCAAACATAATTCACTTCACAAATCAAACTCTGCTAAAACTCCAAATCCTTCACCTGGATTTTGGTAGAAAAAGTTGGAAAAAGCCATCCTTACCTGGTTCCACGTCCAGAGATCGACTGTCTATCTCAATGTCAAGACGTTTGGTAGCCGCATTGCAGAAATCCTCCAGGACACAGTGAACAGCCTGTGTGACATTATATGGCACTGACTTGGCAAATTTCATCTTGCTATTGACTATGACACTTCCATTCCTGAAGTTGAGAATCTCTAACTGTTTAAATCCTGTCAGGTTAGACTGTAGATAGGGAAGTAGCTGGAAAAAAAGAAGACACACTGAAATACAGGTGTACGTTTATCATATCCACCTCCTGTCAACACAAATATTGAACTTTGAGACAATCAAAAACACAGAACCCTGCTTTCTGACCTACACTTGGCCTGGAGGCATCAAGTGGTGATAATGATTTAGCTCTATGGATTTCTAAAGTAATAAGATCAAGACAGAATCATGCTGGTGATCGACTGCTTCATCTTTATTTCATCTGTTAAGTCTTAGCATAACAGTCAATTTGGAATGGCCTCACAGCAAATGGATGTTTCTAAAGATGTGATTGTAGACTCCACATAATTCTGATTATTTTTCACTCCTTACAAATATGCTTTGCTATGGATACAAAAACTAAACTCTTTGTTTTAAGTTCAGTGTTAAAATACTGTATGGTGTCAGGGTTCTAAGATTCAATACAGTTAAAATACAAGACCCACATTCAATAAAGGAATGATTGGATATAAAAAGTGTTAATCGCCAACAAAGGAAAACCATAAATAATTAGAGGGGATGATTGATATTATTTAAAGATATTAGCAAAAGAAAGAAAAATCAGAAGAGCTCTTCTAATTGTACAAGTAGTGCTTCCTGCTCAAAGAACATCTTAATTATTTCAATGCAGGAGGAGACAGATATTAAAGAACAGTGAAAGTTTAAATTTAGCATACTGGAGGAGGGAATTCAAGTATTAAATATGGTTTTAATCTACTGTATTGGTAACAAAAGTTACTTAATTTTTTTACATTGTCCAGTTTTAATGAAATACCCCTCCAATGTCAAAAATGCTTTTGAAAGTCCTTTAGCTTCATTATGATACCCAAAACTCATCCCTCAAATGCTACTTGACAATTATGCAAAATGGAGATCATTAAATGAGTAAGCCCTCACATTTTGCCTAAATTCATTGGCATGCAATGTTTAAATGATCCCAGCCTGAAATAATTGTAACGTGGATTTGCACTGTAAATCAAACGCAGGATACCAAGACTGGCACATGAGCAGTGATTGAGTACTCTAGGAATGACAGCGTCAGAGCACTTGAGGACGAAGGAGGAGTACATAGTTTCTGTGTTACTAATACAAGTCAGTGGAACAGCAGAGAGGCAACAAGAGGAGCTACTGTCACTCTAGTCACCACACATGATAAGTGAGAGTAAAGGAATGCTGTGCTGCAGAATGGTGCTTTTCACTTCCATGTCTGCAGAAGAACATTGACAAATAAAATGAAGGTATGCAAGTTCATTTTTGGAAGCTTGACTTTTACCTGTGAGACAATACTATGTAACAGTTCTCTGCAGTGATAATTAGCTGTGGTGACATTTCAAAGCTATGACAGCTGGCTGTACAGTAGATGTCTGTTATATGCAGGTTAAATTACAGCTCTTGAAAAACCCAAATTATTTTAAAATTTTGTGCTTGGTTTCTGGAGGCCAACAACACCTGAGAAGAAAAGGCAGCCCTACATTAGAAAGATCAGTTCATTCTTTCCAAACGTCAGAATTATTTCTTCCTCTTGAACGTTTAAAATTGAGCTCTGGAACATGATATACTGTACTAAACTGCAACACATGATTTTAATACTGCTCTATTTTGAATAATATAAATGGAATTATTCCAAAATAAAATGTATCCATATTGTCCTTATTGAAATACATCTTATGATCACAATTTTGTTTAGTATAAAGTACTGCAGTTTTTGACTTTGCTGTCTCAATGTCTTTGGCCAGAAGCAGCATGAAAAGAGTTCATTTTGATGTAACAGCAGATTTGTGTCTAAACCCCAGATAATAAAACACTTTACTTATGACTGTTATTACAATTTTGCTTAGACATTAATCACCACCAAAGGCCAAACCCAAGGTCATTCCTAAAACTAATGTCTGTTCACTCTTAGCTTATCTTGCCCAAATCTTACTCAAGTCAGATGTGTGTTAGTCAGCCTTAAGGTGACCTAAATTCTTCTGGAATTAAGGTATTTCCTTGTCAATTAATCAAAACAGATTCTGAAGATTAGAGTACATGCTAAGTGGATCAACTCTTTGCCTTGAACTTTATTTATGTTACAAGCTTACATCCAAAAACCTTCTCATGTGACAAGGTCAATATTTCTACATTAATTTAGTGTGGAACACTGCACTGCTGGGATATGCATTATGCTATAAAGCAATGTTTCAGTTTAATCTGAAGTGAAATATTCATTAATGAGAACACTTTCTGTTTCTACAACCCAATCATCTCTGCCAAAACTGTGGAATTTCATTCGGATAAAGTTAAAGAACAGTAGACAACCACTGTATTTATAGCTATTAAACAGAATACTTCAAAACAATTTTAGCTGTTTTTCTATTATATGCATGTCTGCTAATGTCGGCACAGTTCTAACTCAACAAAGAAAAGAAGAGCCTTCAAAACCTTGGTCAATGCTGGCCATGCCAGTGAAAATTTGAAATGAATTGTAAGAATCTTATAAGGTATGAAATAAATGAATTAATTCATACTAATGGGAAAACTGATATCGGGCTTGGATACTGTACTGTATATCCATAGTAGTAGTAATAGTAATAATATAGGAAGAAAATCACCAAACTTCTGTACAGCTCTTTAACACAAAACTATGAGCCCAGGAGTACTTAATTTCTTATTCCACTGGATCACATGCTGTGCTACTCAGTGATATGCCTTTAAGAACACCAACACACAGCCAGTTTTTGAGAACCTGAGCCACTGGGTTCAAGCCTGCTTACATCAATGTACTCACATCAATGTACAAAAGGCCCAGATTGTTTTTGCTTGAACAGTTTCAAAGCTTCTTATGAACGAGAACACATCACTTTTGTGTGAGTCAATCAGCTATAACTCCAAAATGCTACACAACAGCCATTTCCACATTGTGCTCCAATAACATTCTTCCAGGTGCTTGATTATCTTATGCATTTCCACATAAATGTGAAATGTTTCGGTTATCTGCTAAAAATGACCTTAATTTGAAAGAATACTCATCAAACGTGATTTTTCTTAATGTATGAGACATGTCCTAGAATTGGCTTAATATTACTTGCATACTTGTTAAAAGCAATATATGATACATTTTATTGTACATTAATAAAAGCTAAAAAACAACAAAAACAGGAGAGAAAAGGTCAAGAGCATACAAAAATATTACCATTATTTATTCTACGCTGATGTACTGGTATGCTTCTCAAAAGCAATTAAATTCACAATAGCAAAACAAAAAGTATGAGTAATTTAAAAGCTCATTGCAAATTGCACGTCTGCACAAAAAATTTAATTGCTGTATGATGAATATCCGTTGAAGATATATATTGAAGAAAAATATAGTGTTTTTTTTTCATCTGTAACTGGAGGCATTTGTTCTGATCTGTTACAAAACATATCTTTGGACTCAGTGATTTAACCTGTGCTAGTATAGTGTAGTATAGTATAGTATAGTATAGTTGTTTTTGAGGTGTACTGTATATGACACTGTGGAAATAAATGATTGCACTACAGCATTTTGAATACTCCTGGGCTATTCTCTCCTGTTGTTACTTTGTTCATATAATTGCCTTTTTAGTGGTAATTTCCTACTGTTGTTATACACTTCATTGTACATAGAAGGGAATAAAGTACTAAATGACATGTTTTACAGACAGGTGAACTATGGTAGCAGAATCCATTGCTTTCTGAAAAAGCAGACAAAGAAACCAACAGCTACAGAATAAAAACATATCATCTCTTGATAGAGCTGCCCGGTTCCTTTTGAACATAGAATCCAAACCAGCTGAAAGCAATATAAGTGAGCTGTAAACAATCCTCTTCTTGCTCAGAGGATTCAAAACTCTTCTGAAAAGCAATGAAATGTGAAATGGAAAGCTTATCCTCCACGACAAATCCATGAGGAGACAAAGAGCTACTTTCTTTTAACAACTGAAAGCCCTGCTTCAGCTTCTTCTATCAGAAGAATTGATAGAAAGGGACACCACACCATATTGTCTTGTGGATTACGGTAACACAACAGGCCAATGGTCATTCACCTCCCAGTGGAACCAAATACTGAACAGTATGCACCTGAGAATCAGAAAGAATAAACTTGGCAGCGCGGAAGAAATGTTAAACTGTCTGATAAATGATAGCCTAGGAAGCACTGAAACAGAACACATATCATGTTAAAAGTGGGGAAATCAGTTTTAAAGCACAGCTAGAGAGCAAGCAATTAAATAGGAATTCAAGAGAAATGCAATGCTTTCTCAGAGAGGCTTAAAATTTAAATGGCAGCATGCATGTATGTGAAGAGCAAGACAAGGAGTGCCACACCAATAAATACATAGACAGTCACGTTTAATAGTAAGCAGCTGAGCCGTTAAACAACCTATAGCTATAGCAGACTTAACAGCATGCCTTATTCTATTCAAATAATTTGTCGGCTATAGTTAATTTGTATCTAAAAATTACTAGAGGATTTTTATGCCTGGATTTCCAGATCCAGATTAGTACTAATCCCGAACCACATGTCCTAAATTAGAGTAGGATGGTGCAAGATCAGGGCAAATTACTGTAAGTCACATAAGAAATGAAGAATTAATAAGAAAGCATACACTAATGTCATTAGGTACAAATGAAATGCATCATGCTTTCCCAGAAGCAGGATTAAGGTCTAATATTAAAGTACCGGTATTGACGCTAATGTCCTCTGTCTCCCAGTCTCAGATTTACTGGACGGTCCAAGGTTCGGCCAGTCTTTGTGATGGGTGAACTGTGTCTAGGTGAAACAAAATTTAACCATGTGTTTCATAAGAATCGGCCTTTTAAATGTTTCTAGCTAAACAAAACCTTCTATGTGATGTTTGTTTTATGTGTTCACTTCTAGACTTACAGTAAATACTGTAATGAAGAGCTACAGCATGAATCTGTTTTTGAATTAATGTAAGTAATGCATGTTGTTCTAAGGCGTTTAAAATGTTCAAATATCGAGATCTGACTGGGTTGTATAGATAATCCAAATCTGTTAATATATTGTATACAGTACATATTGACAATCAAAATCATGATGACCATCATTATCATGCTTAGATACAACTATGAAAGGAAGAATCAAGGTAAAAATAATAAATGTATTTTGAAATGTAATAACTTTCTCAAAAGAAAATGAAATTCCTGACATGTTAGCTGGTTTTTCTAACTGGTTCTCTGGGTTTATCTTCATTAACTGGAGATTGGTCGGAAAAGAAAAGACAAGACAAAACATCAAACATGTCCAGTGTACTTGGACTGTTGATAGTAGGGCTGTTTAAGTGTGGAAATGAAAATTAATCCAATTAAATAGCAGCAAAACTTAACTCCTGTTATATTTTATTTTTAAAGGGTTCGTACATTATCAGAAAATTGTTTACATATATTCTTCCTTCCTTAGTTGCATTTCAGTGAAGTACTGGTTTCCCCACAATTTTGAATATTAGTGTATGTTTTCTGAACTTCTTTATTGAGTAAAATAACTTTATTTAATAAACTTTTAGCGTGAGAAAACAATGTCCTGAAACACAGATAAGTACTTTCACTATATCAATAAAACAATAACAAGAGCTATAAGGCAGTGAACGTGGTATATGAGGGAATACTAAGGCTTACATTAGGATTTAAGGCAATCAGCTCTCACAGCAGGGAAACTGGCTTCACACTGTGAAGACACAGCAAATTACTTCACTTGTATCAGAAAAAAAAGACACGCTCTCTAGCTGTAGGGAACATAGACTCGGTTTGCTGTCTGTAGAATCCCACCAAACAGATTACTACAGCAACAACTGTTCCCTTTCTCTCTTTTTTGCCAATATGCACTTTTAAGATAAGAAGCTCACTCTAAGTTAATAGAGAATAGACCGTAGAACAACTACTATGAAAAAAACATTTTACCTACCAGTTCAAGGAATGTATTCTCCAATGATTTGTATTCTGGGGAACTCTTGTTGAAAAGGTCATCTGAAAACATCAAGTTAGTTACTCTCAAGCTAAAGAACACTACTAACTCTTTGCCTTTGCTTGCTGTAGTCATCGAGGGAGTGGTCAAATATTTCAGAGGTGGTGAAGCTGTGCTTTCGAAGGGATGGTCCTCCTTTAAAAACGGGTATCCACCGCTGTAATCCAGCTCATCGATGGTTTCTGTGCTCACCACATCGATCCTATCTAGCTCCGCTGTAATGTCTTGCACTTCAGTTTCAAACTCTCCACTTTCATCTGTCCTTGTGGGTGCAATTGTTTGGGCAGTTGGTTCGCTTTCTTCAACAGTGGGTTTTGGAGCTCTGTGGTCCACTACAAAAGGTGCCACTGAAGTGGCTGCTTCTTGCACTGACGACTCTGTTGGTTCTTCAACAGCGGTTTCACTCAAAATAGTCAAAGGCACTGCCTCCGTAGGCGATCTTGTGGCCTGAGTGTTGGACTCAGCCTTTTCTTGTTCAGTGGTGGAAGGGCCCACCGTTACATCACCACCTGTTGAGCCTTCAAAGACAGGCATAGCACTCGTTAAGGGAATATCAGTGAGAACTGTTTCAAAGGGTCCTAAATCTGTTGACAGAGAGGTGGAAATAGATTCTGGAGTGGGAGAGATTAGAAGACCCTCTGTTGAAGATGTCGTACTTGAAGTGAGGGAGCTGTCCAGGTCCTCTGGTGCTTCAAATGTGGGTGATACTAGCAGAGGTCCTTCTGAGGGAAAGACACTGTCGCCATCTTGTTCGGGGAGCAGTTCTGAAGAATCCGTCTTTTCCTGCATTGTTATATCTTTAAAACAAACAATCAATGTTAATGAAGTTTAGAAGAGTGTTATCTACTGTTGATCTTAACATGAGCTGAACACTTACACTTTTATGTTCATAATACACTAATACCCCAAGAAGAATATTGTCAACATACTGTACTTTTGAATGCTGTGATCTACAGTAGCTCTCTAATATTTTTTGAAAAATATTGTGAAAATACAGGCATCTAGATGAATATGGACACCTTTACTTGCTTGATTTAGAAATAGTGAAACTGATTTTTAAATGTTTAGTATCTCCATGAAATTATGGTGCTGATAAAAAATTGTGAAACCCAATGATAAATATGTAAGATTCATAGTTTTACCATGATATCCTTCTTGACGCAGTCTTTATGTCTATATCAAATAAGGTTTATAGAAACTCATTCCCTGTTTCTTAAAACACAATTATGTATGATTGAAACAAACAGTGAGTTATTAAGGTACAAAGGGATGTGAAAAAGCAAGTGAACCCTTAGTTTCATTAGCTCAAGTAAGGGATTAATTTGAATAAGATGTTTCAATAATTAGGTATATCTTGGGAGTTTGGAAGGCTCCACCCTATATAAAGATTAGATACCTTTAGATACCTGTTTGGTCTTCACCATACAGGAGTGTGAAAACAAGTCTTGCTGCAATCTAAGGAAATCTCTGAAGTTATTGTTACAAAATCATTTCTAAGATTCGGGGCTTCACCAATCTACTGTCAGACAGAAAGTCTACAAATGGAGAAAGTTCAAGACCATAGTCATTCTACCAATGAGCGGTCATCCTATCAAAAATCTCTCTGAGAACAAGCTGGAAAATCATTGAGAAAGTTACAAAGAACTCCAGAGTAACATCCAAGCAGCTGCAGGTCACTCTTGCTGTGGCTAACGTGACTCTAACTATCAGAAATCAACTGAGCAAGAATAGTGTTGATCATCAATTTCCCTTCAGGACCAATAAAGTCTTATCCATCTTATCTATCTTGATGGAAGGATAACGAGGAGAAAACCATGGTTCTCCACAAAGAAAATTGCTGCCTACCTGAAGTTCAGCAAACAGCACACCGAGGATCTACAAGGCTTCTGGCAGACGAGTCAAAGGTAGAGCATTTTGGCCTCATTGAGCATTTTATGTTTGGGTAAAACCAAACACTGATTTCGAACAGAAGAACCTCATCCCACCCCTCAAGCATGGTGGTGAGAGTGCGATGGTTTGAGGCTGTTTTGCTGTCTCAGGATGTGGATGGCTTGCCATCAGTAACACATCCATGATTTCTCCTTTGTATGGAAAGACTCCAGAGGAGAATGTCAAGCAATCTGCCCCTGACCAGAAGCTGAACTAAAAGTGGGTCTTGAAGCAAGACAATGATCTTAAACATACAATAGAAGCAGATCTATAAAAGAACATTTACAATGGCCTAGTCAAAGCTGGGACCTTAACCCAATTAAAATCTTTTTGCTGGACCTGAACTGAGCTGTCCATGCAAGGCAGCCCTCATATTTGACAGAGGTGAAGGAGTCCTGTAAGGAGGAATCGGCCAAATGTCCTCGAAATTGATGTTGGGGACTGATCAATGGTTACAGGAAACATTTAATTGCAGTCATTGCTGCTCGGGAGGGATGCCAAAAGTTACCAAATCTAAAGGTTCACCTACTTTGTCACATGTGAATATTTCAATTACTATTTTCACTTAAATAAATATTTCTTAATTTGAAGATAAATATTTTGAAAGAGTATCATTTTGTGTTATTTATAGTCTTTCATCGGGTTAACTTTATTATTAGGACTTTGCTTAAAATCTAATAACATTTTAGGCTTCAAATATACGAAATATGTGAATAAATGAAAATCTGAAGGTGCTCACTGACTTTCTTGGCACTGTATGCCTGTGTAAATGTCATAAAATATTTTTTTCAATAGCCACTTTTTAGAGCATTACTTTTAAAAAATAATTTGACTATGTCATACAGTACATCCAAAAACAGATGCTATACTGTCAGTTTCAAAAGTAATCCAGACATTATAGATGATTTTGCTATTATAATAATGAGGGAATCATTGATAACTGTGAAAACAGAAAAAGCTGGCATTTCATAAAATTTTCTCACCTTCTATGTTGACAGGTGGTGATGATGTTGTTACCAGAAAAACTAAATTTTCATCTTCATCAGGGACAGCTGGTTTGGATAAATCTGGTATGTCCTCTTTAGATTCCTCACCTTCCAAGAGTGTGTCTGTCCTTTTTTTATCTTCCTCTGAAATTATATTGTCAGTATCCTCGTCTTGCTGAAAGATTATAATCCTTTCAGTTGGTGGCTGCAGAGTAATGGTTGATAGGGTGGTGACTGGCAATAAGACGTCAGAGTTCTCCCTTGTAGATTGAATGGGAAGGCCTTTCACACTAGTTGTGACAAGCAGAATCTGTGTACTAGTTTCAGGGACAGGTTCTACTAGACGGACACCACTGGGAAGTGAGTCAGTTGATGGTATGAACGTGGTATTTGGGACCGACTCACTTTGTATGACACTGTCCCCTTCTATGACAGGTTTACGAAGTGAAGCACTTGGTGAGTCACCATCTTGTACTGCAGTGTCTTTTGGATCTGGACCACTTGCTGTGACATTATGCTTTCCCACATCAGCTTTGGAAATTGAATTACTTTGTGTGGCACTCCCCTCTTCTCCACCAGCAGCGGTAGGTACTGAATCACTTGGTGTGACTCTGTCGTTTTCTACACCAGAATTAAGTATTGAAATAGTTGGTGTGATACTGTGGCTTTCGACCCCAGAATTATGTATTGAAATGCTTGGTGTGACTCTGTCATCTTCTCCACCAGCAGCAGTAGGTACAGAATTACTTGGTGTGACTCTGTGATCTTCTCCACCAACACTGGGAATTGAAATGCTTGGTGTGACACTAGTGTCTTCTCCACCAGCAGCGGTAGGTACTGAATCACTTGGTGTGACACTGTCGTCTTCTACATCACCAG